CCACACACACACACACACACACACACACCCTCACACACAGACGCGCGCGCGCGCGCGCGCGTGCACACAGATTTTAGTTCGGAAACATTTTCCGTTAGGTGGAAATACCGCAACAGTTCTCAAAATAGTTTAACGCTGACTATGACTTCTCAATAGCGCTGACGAAGTATAGAGTATCCGTAGAGTATGTGTTTCCTAAAGTTCTACACGGACTAGTATTAAACACTCACACAGGAGGTAGAAATACTTCTGCAGAACCAATATAGATTTAATGTGCGAGAACCGACATTGTTAAGACAAAAGCTTGGAAGAATTGTTTTATGCCGGAATGTGCGGTCGAAAAAATGGACGTATTGGAATTTCCTGAATCATATAACCGCCTGACCCAGTGGCCCGGAAACTTGAAAAATCTAGACGGGAAGGTATAAATGTGAAGACGAAAATGTTGGCGAGAGGCTGTGGAGATACTGGATGCTGCGTAGTTCAGACAACATCATAAAGGAAGAAAGAGAGGAGCCTTGAAAGAACGGACACTTGACGCTTCGGCTGACGTGGCTTTACGTGCCTGTATAATAGCTCTTGTCTTTGCGAAGATGGCAAGTCGTATTCAAGCTTGAAACGACGTGCCGGCTACCGCGCGACAGCGACACAATCGCTAAATCCACTCAGCAAGTTTGCCGTGTTTCAGTCTCAAATGTTTGCATATTTACAATTTACATCAATGTTTACGGCTATGGAATAGATTACTGACAACCTCTAATTGAATATTCCCCCGTGCAGGCTGAATTTACGAAGGGAACGATCTACTTTAATGTGCTAGCTAATATCGCGCGCACCCGGAATTTTATCGCGCGCGGGGCGCGTCTGCGGCGTAAGTTAATTTTCTATTGTACGTGTGCACGCGATACTGTCATCGCTCCGCATTGATCAAGATGACGTAATTCGCCGGAGGGTACGAATTAGGTTGAATATTAAGTGCTTAATACACGTTTGTTTGCACTGCCGTCGCCGACGTGACACCTCGCCTAAATTGACGGATATGTCGAGCACTTGTTACACAAGTCTCATCGACAATTTGCACAATATACGATCTTGTACAATATACCTTGTTTGCATCGCAGAAATCTGATGTGTAACAAGCCTGTCTATCCGGATTATAATCGAGCGTCTGATCCACGGAATTGCGCCATTATTAGCGTCAACAGGTCTAATTTCGCAGTACGGAAGGAAATTCAAATCTGTGTATTTACATACCGCTCGATCACCTGCCACGTTTGCACGCGAACGTTAATTACTGTCGGCTGATCAGTGGTCACTCCATGTACGGCACGCACACTAAATATTCAACCGCGTCAATAAATTAACTGTCGTGTAACTACGATCGGATTCCGTTATATATTTTATCCGGATAATTAAAATGCACGTACTTTCATTCTTGCGAAAGTTAAAAGATTCTTGTGAAATAATTAATTCTCTTCTCTGTAGGTTACAAAATATTGCCATCTCGTTACAAAAAAAAGAAAAATACGATCAATGCTATTGACATTACGCGGTAGTATTGAACGTGTCGAATACTTGATGAGATTTCCATTTTCTGCACTCGAATTCTACTTTATGTTTGATACGCGTGGGGACCTTTATGAGACTTAAGAGCATTTAATCAGCAAATACATGCACGCGAATAAGCCCCAAGCCCACTTTCAAAGAACTAGATTTGTATTTTGCTACGTGCCAGCAATTTGATCATTGGAATTCTCTTCTCGTCCTTATTTTTTTTTCTCCGGCGTTTCACCGCGCTTGCTGAACCTTTAGCCGATATCCAATTGAATCACTTCGGCGTTCGTTTGGCATCTTCTTCGTAATGAGATTCTTGCCTCGCATGCGAAACGTAAATGCCAAATAGATAGACGAGCGCACATAATATCTCTCTCGCATAAGGAAAAGAAAGACGCCGGCAGAAAAATTCTACCTACATATTTCGCATCACGTGCGTATTTTGAAAGCCTTTCAAACGTCTCGCCTTTCTTATTTTAATCCTAAAGAAAGCATGTACGTATTAATCAAAAAAAATATATATTGAAAAATATAAATACGGTAATGCACAAAATTATATTCACAGAAAATTCAATAGTTTTTAAAGAACTTGATTCATTCTTTTTGTAACTTCTTCTTTCTGTAATGCGTATTTGATACGCATGAATTATTCCGGTTTAAATGTTTGTCCGTTATCATGCTTCGTATCGAGATTTTCGAATTGAATTGTACGGATGAAGGGACAGATGATTTTTCTTACACATGGATGAATATCAACCCTAATATCTAAATGTGTGGGTCGCGATATCTCGGATACAACGAGCTTGGAGGACGGAAGAAATATGCGAAACACGATGCGTGTATATTGAGGAAACTCGGTCGATGGGAGTTTGCCCGTACACACTTGGTGCCCCGTGTCGCGTCCTCGTACTTCTCGATTATTTACGAGGAGGATGGGATCGGACTCACGTAACACTCTGCAGGACACAGGCTTTGGACTATAGCGATCTTTCATTATTCACCAGGGGGCCTGGCTGTCCCACTAAAATGCCGGAATTCTGCGTATTGGTTAATTCTTACGGTTCAGAAAACATTTGTCAGGAAATGACATCGGAATTCTTTTCTAGCGTCGGCTTAATGTCAAATCATGTAAGCATTTCGCAAGATCATTTCTCTCCGTTTCCCCGACGCAGTACGATATTGTATATATAAGAAAAGAAATTAAATTAATTTGCGATATAATTGTTTATAATTTTGCTATGCTCAAAGTGGCTTTTAATATTAGTAATGTATTATTATTAATAATTAATAATATTAATGTCAGAATATATCTATCATTAAGCCAATAATAAATTAACAACAATGATTCGTGCTTAATTGAAGTGCATTGTTTTTGCGAAGCCGTTTGCTGTGGATCGCTGCAATACTATAATAATAATAATAACTATAATAATTACTAAATATTTATTCGCTTCAATAATCGAGCAAATAACTGTTAATAACATTGCAAATATATTCTGCATAGTGTTATACATCTTTTGTTACATTCACACGGTCAGCCAATCACGATTTTATATCGCTTTTCCAATTTTCCAGATGAATACAGTCAACAGCGGAACAATATTATTATTATATTAATAAAAATTAATGCATAATAGCGATAGAATAAAATTAATCTTTATAAGTTGCTGAGTTATAATGTGTTAGTCTGAGCTATACTGAAGTTTTCTAGATTTAGCAAGTCGACTACTAATCTTCTTCTATTCTTTTTATTTCATCATTAATACAATATTATTTATTGCAAAATGATAATATCTTAATTAATATCTTAATTTATACCGCACAGAGTTCTTAAACAGCTTAGAATTTTAGTAGAAGAACGCACTATTGTTCAGACGAAGTGCTTCCATCTTGCTTTGCTCCCAGAAATCGCTTTCAAGAGTCACCAGTAGTAAGCACCGTCGCGATCAGACGGTCAGTGATGGTTATCCATGTTCGATCAGACAGTTTTCCAACTTACTACTCTGTTAGATAATTATTTTTTATTTTCACATTTACGTTCTTTACAATATATGTTACATACTTTTATTATACTCTTAACTATAAAATTACGAATCTTTCTATATAACATTATTTTTTTTCTAAGAATCTTTTAATCAATAATCGATCCCTTTTAATAATTAAACTGTCTTTTTATCAATATTAATGGAACTATCAAGATTAGTATTATTCCAAATTTGATAATTTTAAAAAATTCCAATAAAAAAATAGATGGAAATACAAATGGCAATATTTATTTTGGTATACTATGTAGAGTATAGCGCGGCTTGATGTATACAAAGTTTCATTCTGCTTGTTACATGTCTGTATCAAGAGTTTAAAATAAAATGGATCACCTCATTCCTAAAATAAGTATATTGGCGAGCTATATGTTCACATCAGACGGCATCGCACAAGGCCACTGCTCATATTACAAAGCGTCTTTTTGTGCAAAAATTTATTTATAACAATTTTCCCTTTAAAAAAAATTAGAATTTCTAAGAAATTGACACTTTAAAATCAGAAACTAAAAATGTATCATGAATCTGTGACTGTGACTTTACATTCCGTGAAGAACAGTGTGTGCCTCAGATATTTTTGGACAATACGTTTGAACATTCCGAACAATCTTCCGAACGTTCTTCGTTACGTTCTTACTTTTCCTTATTGCTCTCTGTGCACATGAAATCGCGTCCCGCCACCCCATCCCCTCGTCCGTCCACCATCATCTCTTGATCTCCCCTTACGCGTCTCACTTCGCTCCGCGATGCACCACCGCGCAGCGACAGCATCAGGGGGTAGTGCATATCCACGTTTTAGCGACCGACTTAACCACCGAAGTTCGCGCAGGCGTACACTGCCGTTGCCGGGGGATGCTCGGGGTATAGTGAAATCCTGGCAAATCAATACGGCAATATCCGCCGGTAACCAGGCAGTCGGGGCTCATCCTTTGCGAAGAACGTGTCGGGAATTGACGCGCACGCTCAGTTACGTCGGCAACAGTCGTCAGAACAGTCCATTGCACTCGAGTCTTCGTCACCTTCGTCGTTAGCATCGTCATCGTGTAAAGGCACCGGCCTAGGCTTCTTTCCTCCCGACGAGAGCAACTTGACGAGGCGACGCACGCTAATTGGAAGCAGAGACGGTGAGAATCATTATTCTTGAAGAGACGGATGCTAGCAGCCCTCTTGGGTAACTGACCTTGTGCAATAGCACGAACGTTCGATTCTCAAATAGCCGAGCCACTCTCAGCGATCTCGCGGCGAGAAAATTGTCTGCTTCCACGAAAGTTCTTCGCGTTCTCTCTCGCTTAGAATTAAAAAGGAACACATTGTATCTTGGAGTGCACGTTCGAGTCGTCACGGGCTCAGCATAGGATTATTATACGCATAAAAAAAAAATCAGACAAGCCCGCGGGAGGAGAGTAGACAGTCTCGCGAGCCCCGCTGAAGCCACCAATTGCCATCGGCATCTCTAAGGAGGTAGTCCAACCCTATCCCGGTACCACGATCGAGTTGGGCATCCGCCAGGCCGTCAGGCTATTACGGCGTCTGGTAGGCGCGAGTGATTGGTCCTTCCGCACGGATTTACCGAAACACCCCCAAAACGGCAACCCGTCGTCGTCGTGGTGCTGCCGGGGCCCCGCCGTTAGCCGCGAGAGATCGCGAGAAGGGAGCTTGGGGGGATCGACGGGAGGATCGGCCTGTTCGTACGCGACCGACGCCGGTCCCTGGTACGCCGCTTGCTGGCGGCCCAGTGAGATGGAGGAGAAGTCCTCTGCCCGATTCTCCGAATATCTGTTCGCCAAGATGGGCGGGCAGGACGTCTCGGCCTCTCAGGGTCCCCGCAAGGTGACCGCCGACACCAGGAAGTGGATGCGAGAGAACCTGCTGCTCATGGTCACCTTATCCGGCGTACTCTTCGGCATAATTCTCGGTGAGTGTCGAGGATGCTTGTCGGTTCCTTCTGTGACAGCAGTAATCGCTAAAATCGCAATTTCGAAAAGTTCTTTTCAATTTTTTTTTTTTTTCCTTAAAGAGATTATTTTGTTGAGTTTTTCAAGCTTTAAAACGATTAAGATTGATTTAAAAACATTTTGTGCAATTGTTTACATGCTTTGTTGCAATTGGAAGATAGTGTAACGAGGGGAAGCAAAGTGGAAAATAATGACATGCGCAATGTAAAATTTATATTGCACAAATCATTATTCTTTTTTATCCACTTTCTATCGCCGTGTGACAAATGATGACTGCCATTTGCGGCATGCTACATCATACATGCAATCGTTTTAGCAGCCTTATAAGCCAATTCTATGTTATGTAGATATTGATCTAATATATTACAACAGTCAGCGATTTTTTTTTTTGCCATGGCAGTGACAGATGACCTTTTTTTAGCATTGACGCTCGTGAAGATCTTGTACAACGATAAATTCATACAAATATTATTCGGCCGAATAATTAAATTAATTATTCCGTGTGCATGTGTCGAATTTTTATTTCTTAAAAAAATGATTATTTTTATACGCCATACACGATATGATCTTAATAACATGATGTAAGATATATAAAGGAGCATCTGCAGCGTGTAAATATTTTTAAAACTTACACGTGAGATATAACGCAAGACATTTTATATCTTACAATGACGCACTGTGAACTTTTACATACATCGATCTTACACGTACGTCGCGAACGACCCAGTTCGAAATTATCACTAGTTACATAAAACAGATAATGCTATCTCGTTAAAAGATGTTGATCGCCGATGAAAGGCTTCCTTGAAAGGTTCTATTATGTTAACTTGATCTTATAGCTAACTTATATATAATGGAGATACTACCGTTTATATCAACGGTTTCTCTCTCTCGTCGTGTCGTGTATATATTCGCTTCCGCGGAATCATTCAATTTGATTTGAAGCCTGTTCAATTAAAAGGGAATTCACTTTATTACTGCGTGCTACGTAATATCGAAAATGAAACGCAGAATATATCTATGATTCAATTTGATACGATTATAACTCGATGATATTGTCCAGTTGTAGCATAAGTCATTAGTGGATTTCATGACGGTTGGTACATTTGACGTAGAGAAATAAAAAAAAACTTATAAGAATAATCTTTTGATCGGCGAAGGATTATTAATAGAACAATCAATGCATGAGTAGGTGTATACATCTATGCAAAATTCCGTTTCCGATGGCATGATTTTGCACTTAATGAGTGAGTATATATGAGTCTATAGATATTTTTTTATAAATAGAAACGTTGACGGCATTGTAATAATTTATACAACGTTGCTCGATAGGTCAGTTCGAATCTAAATCAAAGGTTTCATTCATACGTCTTTTTCAAGTAAAAGATTCAAGCCTTTTTTCTTTACATGTCATCATCCACTTTTTTTCTTCTGCAAACGCTGACACAACTATTTGTCATCCGCATAACGGCTTATTGCAATCAGTTATTTCTTCGAGGACATATTTGCCCACGTCTATAAATTAGCGAACAATTTATAAAATTAATTTGACCGTGTAAGAGAATTGATGAAGCTTTCATCCTTTCAACCAAGCCGCCCTTTCTTCGCGATCAAGTAATAAAGCGGTTGACTGTAATAAGTTTAAATATAGTTCAAGGACAAATACGTAGTAGAATCCCTTGAGTACTTTGTATGCAAATGAAAAAGTGACGTTGTCGCATGGCGCAGAATCGCGGATTAATATGATAACATCTCCTCCCAGGATTCGGCTTGCGACCTCTGGACCTTGGGGATGATGCGGTAATGCTGATTAGCTATCCGGGAGAACTCTTTATGAGATTGCTAAAACTAATGATTTTACCTTTGGTAATCGCGAGCCTTATATCAGGTAAGTTTCTTCCCCCGTGAACGGTTGCGACGCAGCGCGCTCGTCTCGGACGTTTCTCATTTATTTTCACGTATTCTAGGTTCAGCGAGTTTGAACGCCAGAATGAACGGGATGATCGCCGTTCGTACTCTAGTATACTTCATACTGACGTCCTTGCTCAACGCTGTCCTTGGTGTAGCCCTAGTGCTCGTCATACATCCTGGTAATCCTGGCATCAGGGAATCGATTACCTCCTCGCATCACGCGAGAGCCGTTAACATACTAGACAGCCTGCTCGATCTGGGAAGGTAAATTATGTCCGCGATAACTCATCGCCCGATATCGATTCTGTCAATATCAATAATGTGCATAGACTCACTTGGAAGTTTTCCTATTGAAAATGGAAGTAATCAAGCGCGAAGGTCAGCGCATACGGAACGTATGAGACAACAGTGTCAATGAAGGATCACTTCCAATCAATTTATTTTCAAATTACGTTTAATTGCTTCGTCGCTGCGTGTGCGTGAAATTCTCTCGTAGCTGAAATTTTTAACTTGATCGAAATCTTTCGTCGCGGTTTTTATTGGGAAAATTGGAATGACGTGTCCAATGATAAAACACGCAACATGAATAATAATACCTGTAATAACTCTTATTTACCGCCATCGCTGAATCATTTCAGTGGTATAGTTATCTAAGCCGGATTAAGGTCATAACGTTTCACGTACCGTGAACTTCACTAAACGGAATTCATCGTGATCGCAGATACTATTACGTCAAGACGAAAATAGAAGTTGATCGATCGTGCGTGGTTTCGTTCACGAGATACAGTCGAAAATTCTCTGTAAAATTCGCGCAACGCTCAACACACACGAATCTTCGAATGTCGCATTAAAATCAGGACACTGCTCATTATATCGGAAACTAATAAACGCTCGCTTCGATAGCGCGAGTAAGACCGCTCAAGATCGTTTTTATCGAAAAATCGTTAAAGCTCGCGATGCGGAAAGCGCCTTAATCAATATATAAAAGCTATGAATAAAACGAAGGCCGTGGAACACGTGTTATTTTTAATACGAAAAGACACCGTCCACTTGTATAATAAATTGATCTAGAAGGGGAATACGTACAATCGTAAATTAATTAATTTACAGGAACATGTTCCCGGACAATTTGTTTCAAGCAGCTTTCCAGCAGGTAAATATATTCTCCGACGTTTTCGATGCGCTATCGAATCTGAAATTGATTTGATGTTAAACAATGAGATATCGTTGCAGGCGCACACGGTGTACGTCCCGAAAAAGCAACCGGTGCAGAATGTCACTGATCAGCTGCCAACGGAAGTTCTAGGTGACGAAGAATTGATCAGAGTGATACAGTATAGAAGCGGTACGAATACTCTAGGCATAGTTTTCTTCTGTTTGGTCTTCGGCACGTTCTTGGGAACACTTGGCGAGAAAGGTCAAGTCGTCATAGACTTCTTCAAGGCTGTGTTCGAGGTCATCATGCGAATGGTCTCGACGGTTATGTGGTAAGTGTCTCCACGAAAATAGAGAGAGAGAGAGCAAATACTTTACGACGCGGTACAAAAGATTGCCGATAAGAACACGGAGAACATTTTGAACTTTCAGGATGACACCAGTCGGCATCACTTCCGTAATAGCGGGCAAAATACTCGGCGTGGACGATCTGGTACTGGTGATGTCGCAGCTGGCATGGTTCATCGTCACGATTGTGATCGGTGTCTTTCTCTATCAACTAGTGATCATGCAGCTGATATATATGGCCTTCGTTAGAAAGAACCCCTTTAAATTCTACGCCGGCCTGGCCCAGGGTACCCTCACCGCCTTCGCCATGGCATCAACGTGAGTCGTCGATCTTCGAACCCGAGCCCGACCTTGAGAGAATCCATTTCGCCTGCCTCACAGGGCCTCGGTCAACGTTGTGATCGTACTTTCTGACCTCGTGGCCTCTGTTTCCTCGTCGGTCGCCTCCCGCAGACATTCCGTTTCTGTTTTCTCCCTCCCTTTTGCTCTTGTCACGTGGACCTTTTTATATCTACGCGAAATGGAGCTGGTCCGTCGCGCGATTAATAGTGCAATAGTTGCTTCCAAAACATTTGACATCGTTGAAAAAAAACAAAAAAAAAACGGAGCAGACAATGAGTGATGCGTGGCGATGAAAGACGTGTACCGAATATCGATTGATAGAGACAATATGTTTCAGCCAGCTGTGTGGAGGCTTTGCGAGGCCACGATTCCGATATCCCTTCCAAATCTTTTGAGCCAGCTTTGTACAACTTTTTGGCTAAATTGTCACAACTTTATATCTCTCTTGCTTGATATCTCTTCTCTATAAAAACGTTGTAGAAGCTGGCCACAATTTCCGATTATCCTATTGGTCCTTGCTCCACATATCACAATCTCTTTTAATGTTTGCTTGCGAGGAGAGCTCGCCATGCCACATGAGAAAGAGAAAAAGAGGGAAAGAGGTATGCAGTTCCGGGTAGCACTTAGAATGCTGATACTTCCGGTTTTCGATTATTAGACTACACGAACTTCCGATTCATTGCCAATACATTGCCAGATTCTTTATGGTGATGCAAACGGAATTTCGTTAGCGCGAAACTAACATATCACATGTTCCCGGCTAAAGAATCAGAGAGTTTGAAAGTATGATTGCGTTGTCGCGGCATTATTTGACAATATATTGTTGTCCAAACCGGCGATCTGCTGACTCCGTGTTACCTGGACTGATTCTCGGCGTGAAAGTCTGCTAGGGACTCGTCATCGGTATCTTTGAACTTTTCCCTCGCGAGGGCAGTGAGGAAAAGGGAGAAGAAACTGCCAAAGTGGGCCTTCACGCCAAACTATATGATAAAATTTAAGTACAAACATTGTTTTTTAAAGACAAATGAACTGAAAAAATATTGGTTCCTTGCGTCAGACTCGCTCTTGCAGGTACGACGAGGACGTCGATGACCGGCTGTACTGCTGAACACAACGTGCGATCATTTGTCTCTTTGATAATTCATTTTTGAGAGTCGCGCAAAGCAACGATCATTTTTTCAGTTCGCACTACGAAATCATCCTCTCTAAAGTCCGTCCCTTCTTTCGTTCTCGATCTAACATACGTTAACTATGTTGAAAACTCTCTTTAATTTCCCACATATAAAATCTATTTCCGCTACTATCCATTTTCTTCATTGCTTCCTCTTATTGCTTTAACAGTGCTTATATCGTTTTATGATCCGGCTAGGTTTTATACAGTTGTCTAACTCAATCTGTTTTCTCTGTGGATTAACTGTTTCCAGAAGAGAGCGTACACAACTGTGCGTACACTGTGACTGACTGAGAAACTGTTCTCAGTGTATCTGAACAGAGACTGTATGAATATCATGATGATGTATTAGAACACGCACTGCACGCGGCCTTTTGCAGGTGGTTGACTATGAAAGACCGAGGGTAGCGCTTGGTAAGTAATTGATGGCCGCAACATGAAGGTATATACAATTGTCTGTTGTAGGAAGCGAGCGGGCGATTCTGGTGTCCGGCGTGTTATCTTGCGGGCTTGCGATCTAAGCTAATCTCAAGTTGATTTTCAGGTTGTTCTTACGGTCATTCTGGCTGTTGCTCTGGCACTTTTTCTACTCTCTACTCGCTGATACTTTCCACAATTTATAACACGTCAATACGAATTTCCGAGTATATCACCTTTCATTCATATATCGTTTCTCTGCGCCCTTACATCCGTTTTATTCAATTCAACCCTTGATCAGTTACATTTAAGAGATTCTTGGTAAATCATGCTGCTGTCTATCACATAAGTTTACGCCAGAATGACCAACGACTTCGGCAACAGGCGACGTGGAGCGAATCTTTCTATCATCGGAAATGTGTCTTGCCCGATTTTTGCTAACGCAGTTTTGTACAGGGCTGCCGCACTTCCTGTGACTTTTCGTCTGATGACCGAGAAGCTCAGCGTCGACCCTAGAGTAACCAGATTCGTCCTCCCGATCGGTTGCAATATTAACATGGACGGTACTGCGCTCTTCGTTGCTGTGGCCAGCATATTCATCGCCCAGATGAATGGTATCTTCCTGGGCTTCGGGGAGATTATTACCGTTATGTAAGCTTTTTTTTCTCTCTCCTACAATTGACTTTTTTATCATTTTGTTTACGTGAATACTTTTATTCAATTATATTTATATACATTTATTATATACTGTACTATTTATTTATTTTTCTTATCTTTTCGTCATTCTGTTTTGTAAAGTTTGACGTCCACCGCTGCTTCTGTATCATCTGCTTCGGTGCCAAGTGCTGCGCTGGTTTTGCTGCTGGTTGTTTTAAGCGCCATTGATGCTCCTGTGAATGACGTTTCTCTTTTGTTCGCGATCGACTGGTTTGTGTAAGTATCAATCAATATTACGCACTGGTATGTATTTTGAAAAAATTTCTCATTACATTAAATCTTGTAGAGATAAAGTATTATTGTAAGTTATATTCTTTCTTTGGGATTAATATGAATGATATTTTATGTCAACTAGAGATCGGATAAGGACCACTAACAACATGTTAGGAGATTGTTATGCCGCTGCAGTAGTCGAACAGTTGTCGAAGAAGGAACTGATGGCATTGGACGCAGCAGCTTATCAAGTAAGATTTTTAATATTTATTCTATTCGTTTCTGCGAATAAAATAATCTCGATTGCGGCATTTTACAATTCTTAACTTAATTCGATTTGATTCTAGTCGGAGACCGTGCTGCCAACAACTATCGCCAATGGATGTCTTTCCGCCAACAGGGTACCTGATCCTGATACCGTCGTTGTCGAGATGCAGGACGACACGCGGATAACGGGGATCGCCAAGTAAACACGCTTGTTGGTAGGGCTAGGCTATCACTTTGTACGATCATTGTAGATCACATTGATTCATTAGCAAGTCATCGCTTAGCAAATCGCTGGCTTATCTGCAGATCATTAAGAAATGAAGACTTGACGGAAAAAAGTTGTAAGCGCCAAAAATAAAAAAATATTGCGAGGTAGTTTTATAAATTCATAAAAACTTTTCATGTAACCTTTCATACATAAACAATTTCAAAAAAATGGCACTTGGAACTTTTTTTGTGTCAAGTCTTCAGTTAAACAGCGAGAACATTCTTCAATGTTTTTCTTTCGTTTCAGCCTCGGAATTTTGCACATGTCGAGAAGTGTGACAGAAGAGACCGTTTGACTAGCGGTTAGCCTCGCAGAATAATTTAGCAGCATAGAATTTGAGAAACAAGTAAATCGACTCTGCCACATGTTCAAATGAGTAACAGCCTATTCAACGAGGATCAAAAAAGGGTACATACGTTGCGCCGGAGGCGTGTTTAGTTCCTCTGCTTCTCGTCGTCCTAATAATTTTCAAAGCTCATAAGGATCTTCCGCAAAGAGTGATAGAAACTCTCGCAGAAAACACGGTCGCCACGATGCGACACGAAGAAACACAAAGTCAATAACAAATGGAAGAATGTGTTACATGTGATGCAGGCACAGCAATAAGAATTGATATACGTACTTTGAAGCTTCAGATGAGACTTCCAAAGACTCGAGAGAAGTATGTTTCGTCAATCGCTACGATGGTAATAACTACGCTCGACGTTGTATTATAAAGAGTCGGAATGCAAGTCGTTCAACGGCCCCGAGGGATTAGACTGAATTGGAAAAGAGGCTAATCCGATTGACTCGCAACTAGCAAAACCTGAAGATCGCGTCGATTCGATCGCACCCCCGTAGGAATCAGTGACCAGTTTCTACGATCGATCGCGTAAACAGCGTCGAATGTGGTGCCTTATTTCGGTGCGCCAACCAAGTAGGCGTTATGAAAGTAAACAGATTTTTCAGTTCGTATCCGAGTATGTTCACATCAGAAACCGTGCGTTAGTAGAGGCGTTGATTTCGACCCATTTCTGATGCTTTTCGATGTCTTTAGAAAATGTCATGGTCCTGAATCTGGGGATTGAGCATGACTGTCTTCAGTGTGATGCGACGAATACAACTTTCTATCAAAGACAAAAGGATTTTTTACAGCGGTTGGGGAAGCTTGATGTGATAATTGTTAGGTATAGCTATGTGCATATCCACATACTTAGGATACAACAAATACAATTTGATTACTTTACGTATTATCGTTACAATATATTCTAAATGCCATTTATTTTACTGATCACAATGCAAGAAAGAGGAAATTAAATTGGTTACGTGCAACAGTGCGCATTTGGGAAATATGGTTTCATGCGAAAAAAATGTGGCAAAAAAAAAGATTTAGCCGCCATAAGACTATAAATATAATAAGACTTCAAATAATTAGTAAAAATCATATCGAACTGATTGTCGGACCATTAATTTCCTAAGACAGAAACTGATACATAGAATTTTTTTTACACGTTTTTCCTTTAACAGACAATTTTTTGCGACAAGTTTTTGCGAAGGAGTACTTCAGTGTCAAAATGGAAACGTATTTTGTTAAAATTGGGAACTCAAATTAAAAATTTTACATTCTATCAAAGTTTTCAATGAAACTTTTTTTATATGGGAACAATGTCTTTCAATAAGTTACGGTTTTCTCAATTACAATAACGACAATGAACGTCGACGATTTTATGTCGTTTTCTGATTAGTGTTCTCTGCCGTAGAATAATATACCTTCCAGTATAATGTTGTCCACTCAGTAGCTTAGAAATAAACCAAATTCGTGTTTTGATCGTATGTGAAAGACCATACTAATCTATAAATGACAAAAAAAAATGGAAAATTAAATAGCGCAGCTCTTTGTCGAGCGGCAACAAGACTGGATACACCATATAATAATATCGTTTTGCTAGATATAACATAATGTATGAACGATTCCTATACGGTTTCGCTGATTTTAGGCACTAGATAGGTAGGTCGATACGTGTTTCATCGTAGAGACTGTTTAAATGTACAAATTATTGGAGTATGTAGCGTTTTTTTAGTAATTATTAATGTTTATCCATCCGTAATGTATTGTGCAATGCATTGTGCATTATTCAAGTTTCTTTTCGTTACAATATCATTTTATTTAGGAATAATTTTTTTTTCAAAATGAATTACTTTGAAAATACAAATTATTTTAATTTAATTATTAATACTTAAGTGTTATTAATAAAATGTAAAGTAAAAGTAAGAGATTATAAGCGCATGAATAGCATTTATATTTTACCATAAACATCGAAATGGATCCTTCGGGATGATATATGTAGAACAGAAACCAGAAATTAAAAATTGGAGTTATGTAAAAATCTAGTTATATAAGAATAGGAAAACATTGCTGATTATAATTTGTAATGAGTTCTCCTTTTTCAAATTAATTTCTGATAAAATATTATTTTTGTTAATCCTAATTTCTCGATTTTATTTAGAACATTTGGTTATTGTTTCGAGTGATATACCGGGTGCTCCTGTTACTCAGTACGTTTTACGCTCGAGCGTAGAAGAAAATAATATACTATATGTACTAGCTGGGGGTAAAACGAACGGGAGAACAAGGGATAAACGTATCAAAAATAATCCAAATACGTGTTAATATACTTATAAGGCTCAACGTGTTGTATAACAAGAAGCAGATTTATACGTGGAAGCATTCTGTCTTGTTTATTAACAATCCCCATCACATCCCATTTTCTTACTGCATCTTGATGCATCTTAAATTCATGATTAAATTACTTATGCAAATTGGAGGTAAGTCGAGATAAAAGAAACACAACTCCTAAAAAATTCATTTATTTAAGGCCCAACGTTGCCGCGAGGCCCTTGGCTCGGGAGAGTCTTTGTACAGAGAGCGATTTATACAAAATATGACATATATTTATAATATATTCAGTGCGTATATATATATTATATATATACCTGGCTGAGATTTCGTCCCCCGGTACATCGAGATCGCATTCGGAGGACTGAAACAAAGTAACAATTAACGAAGTTAAGAATGTTTTTTTTAGAGATACGCTGCCACGAAATCCGGTTGTGATCAGTTCGCTCGTGTCAGCGCGTTCTGTTTTTCCAATACGGACGATATCGCCGTGTTCGTCGCAGTATCGATCGATTGACGTTATAAAATTAGATTATACTGTACACATTTACGCGGCGCGATGAACACGGCGCAATCATCCAACTTCCGCTTTACATAAGGACAGTCTATCTTTTTGATTATGACAACATCGTTATTCTCGTGAATTATTTACAATGCTACTTAATGACTAAGCGCCGTCGCAGCCGGCGCGTATTTACAACGCATTCCGTTCAGAAAGAAGTACTTCCCTTTACTTGGCTATCGATCGGAACATAGGACGCGTTCCTATTGTATGATAAAACGCAATCACCGTTTTCCCGCTTCCTCTTTCACTTGTGAAATACGTTACTCTTACTATGCCTCGCGATCAATGAAAAATATCTATAAAATTGCGAGTAACAATTAAAGACGGGAAATTAGCGTTTGCGTGTGATGAGGGAGGGGGCGATTCAGTCGTCGCTTCTTCGACGACCGGTCACGTTAAAATTTCTAAATTAAAATCACTCGTTAATACTATACATCGCGAGTCACGTTGTTCGCACAGTCTAAGAGAACACTATATTCACTATAATCAATCGCATCATACAACAACGCATATCAACAGGAATATCATTCGTATTGCTTTACACCGCGTCGTCTTACTGATATTGCTTTCCCGGCGAATCATCACTAGATTAACACTAAAACTTGCACGCAGAGTAATGCCGGAATAAAATCTAACTGTCTTCAGATCCTGAGCTCGGCATCGGTGACGGGAATCCCTCGGTTGGCACTCTGACCGGATCGCTGGGTGGTGGGTGGCACGAGCGGACTTATGCTAGGACTTCTCGTGGCCAGAGGTGACAGTGAGGGCGAGAAACTTGGACTTAGCGCGGCGGAGGGGAACGTGGAGGCGTCGTGGCTGATCGGTGACCTCGGCAAGATCCCTCTCGCCAGCGCTGGCGCCGCCAATGACCTTGGAGCGACGGACGTGAGCAACGGCGGCGGCGGTGCTTTATGTACAGACTTGGTCTTACCGCTGCTGCCAGAGTTTCCGCTCTGAACACTGGCGGCATCGTCTTTTAACCTGGCGATTTCGCTGAACACGTGAGCTAACGGTTGATACTGCGGTCCCCAGTCCAAAAGGTAGTCCCAATTGTACGAGCCGGTAAGTTCCTCCTCGCTGTGCACAATGGAGCTCAACGAGCCGTTCATCGACGGTCCTCCTGGGACCTCCAAACCGGAAGTAGGACGTCCGGATTCTCCGATCTTGCCGTAGATTAGCGTCGCTATGTCCGCCTCGGTGCTGGCTTCGTCCTCGAACAGATGCAGACTGTCGAGGGGAAGAGCCTCGGGGGGCCTCCTAGGCGTACCAGCCGGAGGATCCACGATGCCCAATCTAGCTAAGTATTCCTGAGTATTGTGAACCGAGAGATCGCTCGCGGAATCGCCGGTTTGTTGGCCCTCGTTGATCATTCTGATCTCCTCGTCTTCCCCGTCGTCCTCGGCGGAGCCCCTGCCGGAAGAACCTGATTGATCGCTCCCGGAAAGCTCGGAGGTAGCCTGTTGTTGTCCGGATTGGCCAGATGTTCCGTACGGAGGTATTTCGTCGTATTTCGGAGGCGCAAACTGGCAAGACGCGCCGCCACCCGCGCCTCCAGCACTTCCGGAACCGTTTCCATTCGCGCCAACTCCAGTCACGCTTCTAATCGGAATTGTGTCGAATGCGCTCGGGTCGACGTAACTATTGGACGCCGTAGCGTTGCTTTCGCCATTCAGACCTGGTTTTGCGCCGGGCTTCTTGTGACGACGATTGCGGATGTGAAGATAGAGAAAGATAGCACCGAATGCGAGGATGAGAAGAAGAAGAGCGATCAATAGACCCAGAACCCAATCGGCCAGACCTCCGGAAGTGGCCACGGCCATGTTCGAGCCGACGTCCGTCGGTGTTGCTAGAGCCCCTCTAGCTCCATTCGGCTCGTTATCGTCCATCAACACAATCTCCACTATTGTCATGTTGGATAAAGAGCCTTGCCTACCAGAACTCGCGGTGATCATCAATCTGGATGATTCTTCTATGTCTAGTTCGATGTGCATCAATTTTTGCTTCACAATCAGCGCGCCGGTTGTGCGGTTCAGTTTGAAGTAAGGATTCTGAGACCTCAATTGGTATACGACCCGGCCGTCGGGGCCTTTGTCGCGATCGGTCGCCGTCACGTGACCAATCACCGTGCCGGGTGACATCTGAGCCCCGCTTTTAATTCCGAATCGGTACATTTTCTCGGTGAATTGCGGAAAGAACTCGTCCCTCGATTCGATCTCCACCCTGACACGCACTGCCGCGGTACGACCACCCATGTCTGTCGCGCGCAAGGTGAAGGCGTACCGATTTCTCTGCTCGTAGTCGAACTGAGCGCGTGCGATGACGATGCCCGATCTCTCGTCGACCGCGAACAGCTTCCAACTATCGTCGATGTCCGAGAAGCCGCTCGCGGCGGCGGAAACGATGGAGTAGTTCAACGATCCGAAAATACCGCGATCCAGATCCGAGGCGCGCGCCGAGAAGACGGTCGTGCCGATCGGCTCGTTCTCGCCGACGAACTCGAGGTATTCGGAAACGGGGAACTTTGGCGAGTTGTCGTTCACGTCCTCCAGGATGACGCAGAGTTTGGCGAGCGCGCAGAGAGGAGATACCGGATCACTGTCGCAGACCATCACCACGAGATTGTAGACCTCGGGTTCGAGGTCGCAGTCGAGCGTGGAGTTCACCAAAACGGCACCGGTCGTCTTCTCCACGCGGAACAGACCGCCGTCGTTTCCTGACGTGATGTCGTACACCAGCGTGGCCGCCGCACTGCCGATTATGTCGTCATCCTTGGCGCGTAAAACGGCAACGGTCGTGCCACGCGGAGCGTCTTCCTTTATCGAAACTGTGTAGAGCTCCTTCATGAAATACGGATGATTGTCATTGATGTCTTCCACGATGATTGTTACTGTTACCGGTTCGTCTCCCACCAGCGAGCCAGTCGTCATGTTACCGACCTTGCTGCCCAGGCTCAACACGTATCTGCAAAGAATCAGAATAATTTATAAAATACAGTAGAACATTAAAAGTATTGATAAAAAACTAAATATATATTCAACGCGATAAATTTTTAATTAAAATTGTTTCGAGCCATTGACGCTTACCTGTCCTTCACCTCGCGATCAAGTGTTTTCGAGAGGATCAGCTTGCCCCTAGATATTTCGAATACCCCGCTATCGTCGCCCGCAACGATGGCGCCGTCCAGCAAGTCTACGTCGGAGAGCCTCATCAACGTCGTACCCTTTGGCGAGCTTTCCTTTACCGTGATATTGTACTCACGCCCGGGAAGAGTACTCTTCAAACTGCTAAGTCGCACGATGACCGAGCACACCGAGAACGCCGCAGGCGTACCTTGGTCCTTCGCGACGATCGCCAGGTTCATCTCCTTCGGTATCGGTCTGGGTATCGCTGTGCGATTCACAGTCACAGTACCGCTCTGAGAATTCACCAAAAATCCCTTCACAGGTGACTGCAGGTAATAATTTACTTTGCTGTTGTCCTCCGAGAGATCGTCGTCCGTTGCGTTCACGGTCAGGATTTCTTGCAGAATACCTTGCCCTTCTGAAATAAAAAAGAATCGATATGTGTTACACATCGTATACTGCATCGACACAATTTCACATATATATATTTAGTAGGCGGTAATTTTGATGAAGATATTCGCGAAATTATAAAGAAAGTTTATATGAAGTTACACAGGATAGCATTTATTAAAGTGAGCGATCGGAGACTCAAGGAGCACTTAACAAAATCGATTATCGAATCATATATTGTACGAGGGACCACTCGACAGCGGTACGGGAAAAAGATCGAGAGTTCACGAGCGCGAATTCGAATACCCTCCGCGTCCTCTTCTTATTGCAGGCGCGTCCTCGACCACCGCCGACATTACGAATGCCTTTTTGGCGGACGGCGAAGGTGGAGGATAAGCCTTCTTGACATCAGGCCGAACGGAAGTATGAAATAATAACCAGTTATATAAATCGCGCCGAGCGGTGTCCCGGCTTCGGCTCTCGATGGCCGCGCACACGAGAATCGTTTCGATGCGTTTCAAATCGCCGGATAACTCGGCATTAATGTGCCAAGCCACGGTCTAAAGTGCAGAGACGGATGTAGGCCGATGGTGTGTGTGTGTGTGTGTGTGTGTGTATGTGTGTGTGGGGAAAAGAGTCCAAAATAAACCTGGAAGACACGGTCCTTCGGGGATCGCAGCGGCCAGGAGTGAGGGATTCTCGAAAGTGAAAGAGAACGATCTCGCGGAAGGAACGGGACAAACTGTATAATTATTGCGGAGTACGTATGACAGTGAAGCATGCACGCTCGTATCATTTTTGTCGAGATAAATTCTGATTTCCAGCAACCGCATATCTTTTCCCATCATTCTTATTCTTCGTCATTTAGAAATATCGCGGCCTTCAATTAATAGTTTTTCTAATCTTCGTATCGACGTTTACTAATCTCATCTCGTCTATTATAATTTTGCTCAAGACAAATATTTCAGATCGGATTTCATTACAACCCAAGATTTGCACAATTTTACGGAAGACGAGATGAGAAAATATCTCCGATCTAGCTCGATGTTATTGCCTTTATAAGCATTTCTAACGATCTCATTAATTTCTCGGACGCTTCGTTAACTTTCGTTCGGGGCTTCTCCGCTCGCTCGTATCTGCGAGCACATCTCGCGTCCCGTCTATCCTCCACGAGAGACGCCGCATAGCTTTTCGCGAGCGTGCGAGACGGAGCGCCGGGATGAACTGTAAAAGAGAGGAGGATGCAAATTCGCGATCCCGCCGTGAGAGCTCCCCGCTCGAACCCTTTTCACATCCACCGCCTGCCAATCCACCCTCTCCCCTGTTGCCCGCGCCCACCCCGCTGCTCGCCCAAATGCACCATTAGGCGCGGGCCTATGTATTTTTAATAAGTTTCGAGAGTCTTCGAAGCCGGCGATCTCGGCCGGCGGTGAAGGCGGCTTTTCGGCTGCCTCGCAAACGGTGTCCTCGCGTTTATTTATGTGCGAGGAGTTCGCAATCCTCCTCAGCCCTCCTTCCACCCCGTCCACTGCCATTCCATCCCGCACTTCCACCGCCCTGTCCTGCCGATCTCGCATTCTCTTTTTCTCTCTTTATCACTCTTCTTCCTTCTCTCCTCTTTCTCCTTTTCTGCACATTGTATCTTTTTCTCTCTCGCATTCGAGCAGCTAGCTTTTCATCGATCCTCCTTTTCTCCATCTTCTTTTTTCGCCACTCTCTCTCTTTCTCTCTCTCTCTCGCGCCGCTCCTCTCTCACCCCCGCGCCGCTTTCTCGCGCGCTTTATCTCGGCGCGGTGTCAATTCGAGTTTGGAACACGGGCAACAGGACAACGCGTGTCTACTAAAAACCAGTTTTTAAACGCGCGTTTACTTCGCACCGAGCGGCTCGTCTGTACACAACCTTTACTCCGTTCCCTCTCTTTTCTCATTTCTTTGTGCTTTGATTTTTTTCAAGGCTGAGAAGCATCGTCTAGCAGGTGACAGAAGTCGTGTAACAATGTTCAATAACAATTTTACGGTGCGGGATATAATAAAAATTTCGATGGATAAAACGGATCTTGCGCATTTAAACTGCAGAAGCAATTGAAAAAAAAAAAAATTTGCATTCTAAATATTTGTCAAAATTAAATTTCCTCTCGTGCAACTTGACTTCAACTTCTCAATAACGCGCCGTTCTCGCGCCGCAAAACTGTAGAAGAAGTTCGCGGATGCTTGAAGAATGCGGCAACAAAATCGCAAGGGCTTTCATACTTCACCGGTCGTAGGAGCGACGTGACGCATGTCCCGCGACTTCAACCCACGCTACCGCTTCATGGACAACCGCGCAATCTCCGAGACGATCGTTCCTCAATAAATCAAAGAATTATCACCTGCCCGCTGAAGCGGACGCGGTGCTGATAACCGCCGCGATGATCGCGTTCGATCATCGTCAAAGTTCCGATCGCCAATTCGCCCGCTACCTGCCTCGCGCACTCCTCTCAAAGGGAGGTCATCGCGCTCCCGATACCCACCTGAAAGCACAGCCACGTAGACGGGCTGCAAGAACCGCGGCGCGTTGTCGTTGATATCGGTCACGCGTATGGTGAGGTCGGTCGTAGCCCCGTGCATCCCGTCGCTGGCAATCACCTGGAGAGTGTACTCGGAACGCGTCTCGGCGTCCAGAGATTTCCTCAGAACGATCTTGCCGCTGTACCGGTCGATGCTGAACGGCCCCGGATGCGTCACGTTGCCGAAGCGATACGTCAGAGTCGGCGAACTGTCGACGTCGTTCGCCGTGATGGTGGTCAGCACGGTGCCCATGGCAGTACCTGAAACAGCGTTATTTTAACGTACCGTTGACGAGTAAGCGCGTACTTACGCTGTGCAAATGCGAATGGAAAATATCATTCTAATGTGAAAAATATACATTGGCATAAAGTAAGATTTTATTGTCGCGATAATAATTGAATAATCGCAGGCGCTATTCCGGTATTTGATAGCGCGCGGAAAAATGAAGAAAAAGTTGTGATGAATTTTGAACACAATGAAGTGGGCGATGGCTTTATCGCTCTACATTGCGAAACGCGCCGTTGCGTACTGACGGATCGCATCTTTATGCATAAAGGCTACTTTGATTTCGTCCTTTTGTCCTCATCGTGAAGCCACTTTGTCACCGAGAAACGATCGCGCGCGATACATATATGCGACGCGAGAGCGTGTAGCCCTCGGATCAGGGCGCCGCTCTTCCGCGAAGTTAAAGACACTTCAAGGGGGTCGCGCTTAAAATGCATTGGATCCGTACTATCGAATCGTTTTATCTTGGCCATACTAAGAAGAAGCGGTCGAACGAATCCGCTTGAAGAAACGAATGAGCTTCTCATTCGCGAGGAACGATCGGACATAGCCGCTGTGAGTAAATTACAATTTACAATATCGTCTCCCCCTCCCGTGCGAGCATTACGTGAAGAAATTGAAAACCGTAACGCGCGGTAACTAATTTGCAAGCACAAAGTGTGCGCGATGTCTACCCCGCTTATGTCGCAAAACGCATTACCATAAATGCGCCGCACGCGAACGCATCTATCGCGAAATGCAACTCTGATTTCTTCTTAAATATAGATTTACGCCTTCTCATAATTCATCATAATGCATATTTTATATATATATATATATTGTATAAAAAATATATATACGATCGCAATGAATAATATTTCTGCTATTATGACTTCACATATTCTGAAGATAAAAATATCAATATTCCTGTGTGCGGAATTTGTGCTCTTACAATAACACAAAGGAAATGTGTAAAAGAAAAGTAGATACATCTCGTAGCCTTCAACGATTCGAGAGAGATTATTCGACTCTTGGCGGAGGCAAGCGGATGTGTGGTTGTAGCAAAAGGTATATCATCAAAGACTGGACTTTGATTCCACGACCGAGGCGGGTGATATACGTCGGACATGGCAACACCTGCGGCAGTAAAAGAATTTATTCTGTACGGACGCGATGTATTCGAGAGGGAGCATGGAGGGCTAACTGGCACGCGGCTGCGACTGCTCGTAAATTTCACGAGAGATCGTTAAAGTCGTGTAAATCGGTATCCAGAGCGACCTCTCCGTCCACGGGAAACATGCGCGGCATGACTCTGTTACCGCTTTAATCCTTTGCTATTCCAGGTGGTAAGCCACGGACGTCGGAGGTCGGAAAGTATGTAATTACAGTATTAAAGAGACTGTACAGATAGAAATTTTCGAAATATAAATTTTCCGAAAAAACGATGTAAGAATTTACATGAAAATGAACGATAAATAGCTAAATACTTGAAGAATTATCTGAATAAAAATTACGGAGCGTCGCACGAACGTGATTCGTTATCTACGCCAAGATTAACTTTAATTACGAAATGTTTCCCCGCATTTCACAGATCGACTCTGTAAACCGAATGCAGCGGTCGGCGACGTTATGCTCCTTGTATGGAAAATACTCTCGTCGGTGGTCTGCCATTGTTTCGATCTCTCGTGTCAACGTCACTTTCGGAATCGGCCCGATCGACGCTGTCGATTAAATCCTCCCACAAATGTGCACATATGTGCCGCGGAAGGGACGTATGGCAAGCAGAGGCAAGGGAACGTCGGCGAGCCGCGCTTCCCGGTTACGACGATAATTACACCCTTTATTCCTAGCAAGGTAATTACAAACGTTTATCGTGGGATGAGCGAGCTACGTTAGAAAAAAATTGCGAGCGTGCAGAGGCCGCGCGCGGATTAAGCGTAATCGATATCGCCGTCGTGGAAAGGCGCAAGTTGCCTCGTAACGAGAAAATAAGCTACTTCTGTTAGATCATTTCACGCTGAGCTGTGTGCTATCAATTAACAATTTATAAGCATAAATCACTACGGGGGAACGGCAGGCTGCGATTACCGTAAAGACGCGGTAAGAAACGTTGTTACACGCTGGAAGATGTTACAGCAGCCTCGTTATCCCGTCACGTCTCGCGTTACGACCACGTGATTCATATATTCCATCAAATTCGCTTTGAATATAGCGAAGTTCATTAGCCGCATTAACCGTCGTGCAGTCGAAGAGAGATATTTCGCCTCAACGGTCGCAGGATATTGAAAGCGTTGATGCGTAGCCAGGTGGATTATGAACGGCCTATAGAAACTTTAATCGTACCTTTATAGGTACAAGTGATATTTCCATGACGCGGTCAGACCGCTGTCGCAGCTGTAACTGCAAAATAGCAGGCTTCTGGATCAACGTTACATAAATTTCGCCGCCGCGATAGCCTCGTTTAACTTTTACGATAAAACAAATTAGATAGTAATTTTGCATTACGTTATTTGCGTGCCTGCGAAGCGTCGTTATCTTCAAGGAAGAACAAGAAGAAGGAGTCCAGCGGCAGCGGCTTTCCGAGCAAACAAAAAAAAAAAAAAAAAAAAAAACGACGAAAGGGACGGAGGCAAAAAATAGCGCGAGCGCAATAAGAAACCGAAGAAATCTCCTATTATAACGACGAACGATTGCTAGCACTCGCCACCTGTTTGCTATTGGAAATTTCATTTCAATCAGTGAGAAAAAGAAGCGGACTCGCGGGAAGAAACCCGCCCGCTTCAAGTATCGTCGAAACCACAGCCTCGTTTATTCCATGAGATGCGGTTGAACTTACTCGATCACCGTCCTTCTTTCGTCGCGTCATCTTCGCTGACTAGCTTGCCCACACCGATGGCGATCGAAAGGGATTCACGGGACGGGACCTTCTTTTTCTGCATCTCAAGAGGTGGTAGCGCGAGGTTGGCGCATGTACGTCAAACTCGCGGCCACCACGGTCCCGTGCCGTTCCATTGAATCGTATCTGTCAATGGGGAACAATGTGGTGGCAAGAAAGACCGGCTATGGAAGAGCTATGCCGGTGCAAACGAGAGAAGGAGAGGGATGAGCCGAGCCACCGAACCCAGCAGCCTCGTCTAAGTTATGCAGATTGTTCCGAACAGTTGGACTTTAATGCCGGCATAAATCCTTTGCCACTTAACTTTATACTTGGAGAGTAGAATATGTTCCCGCCCTCTCTCAACTCGGGCTCCTCTCTTCTCCTTTCGGGATTGCCTTCTCTCGCTCTCCATCGATTCTTCTTCTCGCGCCGTCGTTTATCTGTTCTGAGACACTCTGCATATTTCGTTTTAAATACTGAATTCTTTTCATCAAACATAAAAATTTTATTTTATTTTTATATGTTAACTATACACGCGCCTTTTATTAAAAATGTCAATTTAGACTGTACTTGTGTGTAGAATCGCTACTTTCTTTTTATATATACATTTAATGTACGAAAAACAATCCATTTAGAATTAATTTAAAATTCAATTTAGATTTGTAACTAAACTGTTCAATGATTTATTAATTTTTGTGCTCATTTTTCTGCTTATTATCTTACTTGACTCTTATTATTAGTAATTCATCTAACTTTATAAAAGTATAAAATACATTTACCAAGTCATCATACAAAGTGATATTAACGATTGCATTTTTTGCTCTTCCTTTTCCTTTTTCTCACAGATCTAACTTTGGTATTCAGCTCCGCTACATCTCTTTCTCTCGACGCACGTGGGCGACCTTGAAAGAAGTGAACCCATCATAAAACCCGTTGAATTTCGAGGGGGAATCACGGGGGTAGACATTTGCAAGCCAACGACCAGGATGAAACTCGAGCTATCGTCATCGCGAGTGAAACTCAAGCTGGCAACGATAAGATTATCATAGATGCTGTAATGCTACTGTCATCGAAAACAAGTATCCTAACGAGTTCTTTGCCATTCCACGTTATAATACAATGTGGCTGTCTATAATCACTGTCTATAATCAGATAAAGCCGTAAGAGATGAGCAGCAATTTGCATTACTGTAAAAATGAAAATGGTTTGCGATTGTGGCATCATTCCGTAATGAGCTGGCTAGGAAGAAAGATCTTGAATGTTCAAATATTGCTTGTTATTCGATATTGCCACAGATAGTATTCTAAATATTCTAAGAAGTTATTCGCCACTCATAATATAATACTCGCAATATAAAATTTGATAAGAAGAAACGCACTTAAACGATTAACTACTAAAGTGATTATAATGTTGCATTATTATCTCTTGTAATAGTCATACAATTATGTAATAAACTTCTTAGAACAATAACGTAATCATTTTCTATTCTGCATCTATTATTTCTTGAAAAACGAGAGAAAATAATTGTGTCCCTCGAGTCTTTTTATATATGCTCTTAATCTTCCCGCGAGTGCTTTGCCGCGCATACGCACAAACTGTTCACGCCCTTTGCGTCGCAGAACAGATGGCGAACTGGTTCCCTACTCCATGATGCGGAACGTAGTGGTGTGTGGTTTTGGCGGGAAATACTCATCCTCGTCCAGTATGTCTGTTATGCGTCGTAGTGAAGCGTTGTCGGTTAGTTCGTGTTGTTGTACGTGTTTTTCAAAAAGTTTGAGTGTTTTATGAAGAATATAACGAAGAAAACAAAAGGAAATATACAATTGTGCATCGCAGATAACCTAAAAAAACCTGCCGACGTTGTACGAATGCCCACGTTGCCTTAATCAATAAAAGGCAATAAAGTAGCTTCAGTTATCATTAAAAATATAATTGCTATAGGTACTATCGTATTCATTATACGCGGATATTTTGTGTCTGATGTATAATATAAAAGCCGAAAGTACAATGTTTATTAAGTATGAAATGTGATTCATTATGTGAAAGTGAGATTGTTTAATTAGTTGTATTTCCTCAGAATTGGCTACTAATTTTATCAATGCTGCTTTATAACAACGTATAAAATTGAAATAAGTCGGCTTAGGTGCCTAGTTTACACTAAGAACAATGTATTGTTTCAGAAGGAAGTTGCTACATTTACAAAAAATGAGCTCGCTACGAAAACTCTACAACAACCCATTTACAATCTGCATAGAGGGAAACATTGGAAGTGGTAAAACAACGTTTTTGAACCACTTCAAAAATTTTAACAATGCTACAGTTTTGCAAGAGCCAGTGGATTTGTGGCGAAACGTAGCAGGAGTAAATTTGTTGGTAAGTTTCTCAGTGCCAACATGTTACAGACACATTATTGATAAAAATATTATAGTGAATCTACAACAAAATCTGAAAGCATTGGAGAAATATTCATGTACATCTATTCATATTCTAAATGAAAGTTAATGTTGTTTGCTTTTAGGATCTTTTATACAAAGACCCAATAAATTACGCCTTTTTATTTCAATCGTATGCTCAATTAACTAGATTGAAATTACATACTATGAGTACACCATCACCGTATAAAGTAATGGAACGATCCATATTTAGTTCAAGATGTTTCTTAGAAAATATGAAGCGTACAAATATGATACGGAATGTAGAAGTGGAAATTTTAGAAAAATGGTATGATTGGTGCTTGGAAAACACTAATGTAAGAACAGACTTAATAGGTATGTATAAATTAAGCAGAGAAAATATTTTGTATAAAATGTAGCTTGCTTCTGATTGAATTGTGCATTTTTAGTCTATCTAAGAACAACACCAGAAGTGGTGTATCAAAGAATGCAGACACGTGGGCGCAAAGAAGAGGACTCTGTATCATTAGATTACTTGAGGCAAATTCACGAAATTCACGACGACTGGCTGTGTAGAAAAACTTGGTTTTCTTTACCAGCGCCAGTTATGATTATAGATGGTGACAAAAGTCTTGAAGAAATGGTGCCACAATTTGAAAAATGCAAAGATCGGATACTTAACGGGGAAAATGATGACACATCAAATACCAGAATAGCTCTAAATGTTAATGCATAGTGTAAGTCAATATTCGCAATGTAATATGACGTGACTGTTGTACTTATTTAAAAATAGATTAATTATAGATTTTTGATAAGATTATTATAATATAAATAATATTCTGCATGTTATTAATGTTCATTATCTTAAAATTTATATTAATTCTAGGTTTAGTATATGGATAGTATCCGTTATGATTTACCTTCAGAAACTGAAATGACATTGTGTTCCGGAAAAGTGGGCTGATTGTCGTTAATGTCGATTACTCGCACGCTCAGTGCAGCGGTGCCAGTTAATTGCGGATTTCCTTGGTCAGTCGCAATTATGGTCAGTCTGTACTTTTCACGAATTTCACGATCCAAGACTATATTGGTCCGTACAATTCCACTGTATGGTGGGCTTATGGTAAAGGCATTATCTGGGTTGCCGTCCACAATATGGTATAAAATTCTGCTGTTTAATCCTTGATCGGCATCACTTGCTGAAAGCTGCAAAAGCGAATATTTTATAATATATATAGAATCTAACGTATATATCTTTTATATTAATATTTATTTTTATAAATGCTTTTATTAAACAAAAAATAAAGTATCCATATTTAGATTGTATATCTTAATTCTTTTAGAAACCTTCCTTTATTTTAGAAAAATATTTCTTTGTCGTTGTATGAACGTATGCGTCGAATAGAAAAATAATGATTTTATAAAACTAAAAGTTCTCACCTGGACGACGAAATCTCCTTTGACATTGCCCTCTAATACAGTTGCAGAGTATTGCGTTTGAGTGAAGATCGGTGGGTTGTCGTTAACATCAGACACCCTGACGATCACTTTGACATATGCTTCTAGGGCGTCCGAACCTGCTGCTGTTCTCGCGAGTACATTGAGAATGTGCCTCGAGCTTTCCCTGGGCTCCTCCTTCGGCTGATCTTCCAGAGATCTGGCCCACGAGGTGGTGCGACCCGCGTCATCCGACAATTCGTCGCCAGACTTCACTGTCAGATCGTTCCAAAGCTCAGCATCTAACTTGGTAGGATTGTTGACACGCAGTAGACCGGTGCCTTCGTCAATTGCGAACGTATCAAAGTCGTTTCCCGACGCGATGGAGTAGGAGACGTGCTGCCTTCTGCCGTCAGTGCGCACCGCGGTGATCTGGACGATCTCCGTGCCAGCTGCCGAGTTTTCCGGAACAACGACGTTGTACGTGTCGTTCTGAAACTTGAGGGCGAGCGCTAGGTCTGCATGATCACCGACTTGCAGTTCGATCAGACCCTTGGCGCTTTTCGGCGGGTTTCCCTTATCCCTAGCCAGCACCTCCAGGTAGTAAGTTTTGCCGTTGTCTTGCGACAGCGACAGGCTCGCCGTCACCTCGCCGGTACTGGGATTAATCCGAAACTTCGGCTTCTCCTGCTCGTGTAGGAACGAGTACACGACCTCTCCGTTGGGACCGTCGTCGGCGTCATTTGCCGACACCCGAAGAATGTTCTGACCTGGCTGCGTGCCGATGGATACGCGCGTCCGAAAGGGATATTCCTCGAAGACAGGCGCATTATCGTTCACGTCGCTGATGTTGATCTCGACTGGTATCGAAGTGCTCATCGCGTGGTCCTTGCCGCTATCCGTCGCCACTATGAGGAAGGTGTAACTGCTTTCGCGTTCGCGGTCCAGTGAACTGTATCGAAGAAACGGAAATCAGAATCATTATAAAATGATTGGTTATCGATTATAAGGTAGCCGAGTAAAATTAAAGAAATTAATTTAATAAAAAATATATAATTTACGTTGATATAATTTACGTTGTCTAATAATATGTTGCGAGAATATGTTAATGTATTTAATGTACTTAATATCTAGGAAGCGCACGTATGATTCATTTTAATGCACATATTTATGGCCGCATCTCACTGCCAATATTATTTATACATTCACATGAATTACGCACACACATGATTAAAGACTTTTCAAATACATTTTTCTCAGTTTAAAGATGATGACAATAAATGTGTGAACGTCGTAACATCCCTGATGGAAATATTTTTCTGAAAATTTAACGAAATTTTGCTGAAATGTATTTGAAAATTTTTCTCAGTTGACCCCATTAATTAATTTCATAAATATTTCAGCAATATTTCATTAAAAAGTAACAATTTTCAGTTTAATTCAGTAAATTTTATAATGATAATTATTTCAAAACTCTTGTATTACTTTTGAGCAATATATTTTAACTTTCCTTATATTTCATAGTATTACATTAAATTTTCATACTGAAAATTATGATTTATTTTGAAATATATTCAGTAATTTTTCAAAAACTTTCATTTTACTTTTCATTGATTTTATAGTACTTTCAGCAAAATATTTCCATCAGGGATGTCAGTAAAAAAAACATCGGTAATTAATGTTAGATTAGTATCGCAGTTATTATTCATTGATGATAGTTATAATGATTATTTTTCAGTTAATTAATACTTGGAGAAAATTCTAATATCGTTCAGCATTAGAAGTTATTAATGAGAACTGTGGTATTTCATAAAATCGTATCGCGAAACAATGTTATTACAAAGTTACGTAAGCAGCAAGCGAGAGAAGTTCCCATCGCAGCAGCGCGCCTCCGCAATGCAGCATAATGCTCGCAATAATTCTTAATAAGCATGGGATAATGATCGGACGCCGGTAGTGCACGGGTTCGATACGCTTATTTACGATTGCGCGAAGCTAACTCGAGTGCTCCGCAGTTATCTTCCGCCGTATCTGCTCTACCTGCTGACTGCAATTTCAAGTATGCAATTTTGCAAATCTCCATCATATCCAAACGGAACAATAGATTGCAAGGAACGTCTTATTTGAAAATACATTTTTCAAGAAATAAAAAAGAAATTTAATCACACGTGTAACGCTACTTGAACGCGGTGAACAGGTAAAACATATACGGATCTGTGTAAAAGAAATGTCTCGCATTAGATGAGCAATTCGTACTTCAATTATCCGCACGAGATCGGCGCGAGACCCGTTGACACGTCTCCGGCATCGCTTTGGCGTCCTCGCCATCAGTTCGCGCTATTTATCGAGTCGTTCTAACGAGAACTGGTCCTCATTTGACCCGAGCGCTGTAATCTACCGGGTGGTCCAGGAGCAAAAGAGGGAAAAATGTTTCGTGTACCGCCTTGCCGCGGAGTGCGATCGGCTTCCAAAGGTAACAAGAGCGACCGTTGCAGCAAGAGCAACAGCGACAAGGCGACACGAAAGCTGGATCTGGCGGCTACCGATCGGAGGAAGAAGATACCAAAAAACAGAAGGAGACGAAAAGAGAAAGGGAGATGAAAAGAGACGGCCGAATCCGCGGCGAAAGGGCTGAAAGGAGACGAGTGCGGTGGGGAGGGACACGCACGGCGAAGGAGTGTGCCCGAGCAAGATCTGGTTTTGCATATCAGGCATTTTGCCGGCTGAAATAATGCATTGAAATGCCACATGGTGTCTCGCTGAAATGACACACGGTTGTCGCAGCGCAAAAGTATGCGCTCCTCTGCGCTCCTTCTCACGGACTACCGACATTCACCGTCTTGTCGTCCGGGGGCCTCTCTCCGTGTTTCCAGCCATCCTCCCCGCATTCGTACGTTGTAAGACGATGCGTCGCGTCTCGTGGTAGATGGAAGCAGAAGTGACAAAAGGCGGAAGCGCGTAAACGGCCGCGGTCAAGCGAAATCATACCGCAAACACAAACCGAGATTGGCATCGGGGACTAATTGCGACGCGGATTACAGCGCGAATCGTGAGCCACCGGGACGGATGCCGAGCGAGTTTACGGCGACCCCGTTAGGATAATACGACAGGCAAATTATATATTGCCGGCACGGAGATGATTTATCTAACTCGTTCACCCGTGTCGTTTTTCGAGAGGGAGGAGACGATGGACGTCCGCGCGACGACGACGACGACAGGCGACTATAATCGCCGCCGTGGAAAACTATCGCGTATCGACTATTCGCACCCGTAAAAGTTTATACGTTTTTGTGCAGAAGGGCTCGATTCCGCAAAGTTCGCGCGCACGCTCCCGCAATTAGCGTCCGAGATTTTCCCCCGCATGCCATCGGCGCACCGCGTCGAACGGTTAACGATCGGCGGATACGCACGCTCCGTCGGGATCAAGGTTCGCGGCAGCCCGCAGCGAAATCGTCCATTAATTAACGAATCACGACCTTGCTGTTCGGCGGGATAGACGGAAGCCACGGAAAGCCTTCGCTTTAACGACGTCCCAAGATATCGGTTTATTGCGCGCGTAATCATAAGAGACGCATAAGTCGAGAGGGACAAACAGACGCAGCGAGGTGCCGAGAGAGCGAACGAGGCGGCGATGGTCGGGCGGGACAGAGATGAGGAAAAAGGAAGGAAGAGTATTCCGAGTTGTGCCGACGGGTTATGCATACGGAATCGTTTAATCGGCCATAGTGCGTCGTTGGCGAAGCGCATCGACTGATTTTATAATTTTACGACGTTCCTAGACTGCGTCCGTGCTGCTTCTTCCACCTTTGCTGCCTCTAGCGCCGGAGCTTTTTTCTACCGACTCGTTGTTCTCTCTCTCTCTCTCTCTCGCGTTTCTGCTTTACGACGTTATACTACCGACGTAATATCCCTTTGGGTGATCCTAATCGGATGTGCAATAAAGGTCGCGGTAATTAACGCCAGGATGAAATTAGTCGGCTGGTAGCCGAGATCGCGAAGCGAGAGCGGTTGAAAGAGAAGATACTTGGAGAAAGAAAGAGGACAAGCAGAAGAGGTCAGAAGGGAAGGAAACGCTGAGAGTGACAGAAGATTGAAGCGTAGAAAAGAAGAGAAGTTGGGCGTGCGTGTAAAAGTGACGGGACGTGTGCACTCACCCGGCGGTGGTAACGACGCCGGTCAGGTTGTCGACCCTGAAGAGCCAGCTCGTCTCCTTGGCGATGGCGTACGTGATCTTCCCGTTCACACCCTGGTCCGGATCTGTGGCCTTTATACTCATGACGCTTGAGTCCGGCGCGATGTCCTCCGAAATGGTCGTCACATACTTGCCGGGACGATTCGTCGATGCGAATTGAAAGCCGTTCCGCGACTCGGTGTATTTATTGTAAACAAAAGTCGGAGCGTTGTCGTTGATATCCAGAACGATGACGGTGAGATTGCAGCGCGCCTCTCGGCTCGATCTGCCGTTGTCCTTGGCCGAGATCGTCAGCACGTACTTGGGTATCGTTTCGCGATCGAGATTCGACATCGACAATACACCGGTCATTCGGTCGAGCGCAAACTTGGCGCCGATGTTGCCTTCTGGAATGAAAAATCGCAAAAATTGAGTTTATATTACATCTCTGCACTTGTGGCGTGGAAATGCGCGATATCTCACCTGCGATGCTGTAACTGATCTCGCCGTTCTTCCCTTCGTCGAGATCGGACGCGGCTACTGTGTGGATCGCGTAGTCTTCCTGATTTTCCGGCACAGTGAGAGTGTAGCAGGAACCTGGCCGAAATTCCGGACTGTTGTCGTTTTCGTCCACTACGATCACCTCCAGAATTGTGATATCCAGAAGCTTATTGGACCTCGCGACGATGGAAACGGAGTAACGTGCGACTTCCTCGCGGTCCAAAGAAGCTTGAAGAACGACTAGACCACTAGGCATTATGGCGAACTTGTTCGAAGCCGTGTTGCTTGCGATGTTGAAGGTAACGTTGCCTGTGTAAAATAAAATTAAGAGTTCATCATTCATTTTTCCCTCGAAAATCATCAGTCGTTCCACGTCTTTGCGAATTAAAAGGTTCGTAATAAGGTGTTGTCGGAAAATCAAAGGACCATCACGCATTTGTAATATAACGATCCGATGACTCCAATGCCGCGCTTACGGCGCAGCGAAAAACGGTGGAAACGTGAAGGCATTCGATTCTCGAATTCCAACGCTTTAGCCCATGCTCTCCGAATTTTTAGCGGGCTTAGAACAAAGCGGCGGTTTACAATATACTCGAGTGTGTGTCGCGCCGACCTTTCGTCGTGTTTCTCCCGGAATAGTTTCACGGCGACATCACATACATGCATACCCATGCGAGCGCGCACCGCGTGTATGACGGCGTCGGTGTTGGTGGAAGCCGGCGATTTGCCTATGCGTACCGCGGCAGGCCGGCGGCACGATGATATACGCGGCCATTGTTTTACCTCGTCCTATCTAATACCCCTCTCTGCACCCGCTCCCACACTTCGCACAATCTCCCTGTGTACTACAGAGCCACTGGTCCTGCGGGATGCGTTAGGATCCTTTCGGCTCACCTGCGGAGCGCGCTAATGCGTTCATCCGCGAACATCGCGATAGATAAGCGCGAAATCAGAAATACGCCATATTGTCGGCGGCCAGTTTATCGCACAAAAACCGCGGCGGCTTAACTGTTCGTCAAGCGCAAACCGGCTAGATAAGATCGCCGCCGTGTCGTGAGTGAACATGTGGATCTAGCGAGAAGAAATCATATGCAGAACTTCGCATCATTGTACATAAATTCTGTTTATCAGATGCGAGCGCAACATAGTTGACGCTTTTCGCTTATTAATGATTCCTTCGTATAACTAAAAACACTCTCATCAGGTGTTTTATAGACGAATGTAAGAAAAATCATCACGTCGGATCGGTATTTCCGGAACGAGCGACTTTCAAGTTCGCACGATTCGCGATATTTATCGACTCGTCGTGAGACACGTCGAGTCGTTTCTCTCATTGTCAGATTCTTCCCCGCGAGATTGCTAATGTGTGCCGTAAAAGAACGTTCGCAAAACTCCCGTGACGATAATTAGGCGGCATTGCGAGAAGCCTCGCATTCGCTCGCACATCTCGCAAAAGATGATTCAACCTCAGTCGTAAATAACGCGAACGCGCTCGTTCCAACAACCCGTTAAAACATTTTCCAAGCGAGAGAAGGACGTTTCTCGTACGTATATTCCTTAAACAGACGAATCCGTAATGTCGGATTTTTCTCGGCCGGCGGAGAACTCGACTCGCTTTTAAAAGCGAGGGAAAACGCAAGAAGAGAGACGAACGATGCCCGCCGCAGCGGGGTATTCCTCGCGTTGAGAACTTTACACATAGCTGGAACACGCGTTGCCAACGTCTCCAAGGGAGTCCGGGCTGCGCGAGTCATTTCGCTGAATTTACTTTAATGCTCGGTGCCGGCCGGATTCAAGGCAATTATTCGAGGTATTTTCGTAGCAGGGCTTTCCTATTAAGCGCGGCGAGAGCGCGTCCGCTCCAGCCCAGCTGCGATTATGTTCGTCCTCGCTCGCGCGTGATTTGCGTACGCTGTGTAGGTGGTGCGTGCAGGGCAGTTATCTTCGACGCGTACTATCTGCACCGAGGACAAAGAACGAGGGGAGAAACCGTGGTCTTCAGAACGGAATGAAACGTTCGAAGAAAAACGAGAGATAGCAGATTGTAATTTCAACCACGCCGCTAAATTGACAGCACCGCCAGAGATTTTATGCGCGCACCACCGAAACAATAAGGACGCGTCCGGAGTAAAGGAGCCTCCGTTTTTGGTTCCACCGCGAGTCTTCAAGATCAATGAGTTTCAACTATGTTGCTCGTTTTGTATCATACGCTGCAAACACGCGTTCACTTTATTTTTACAATCGCGAAAACTTCTCAATATTTTGTTCACTCGTGAGCGGCAATGAAATTAGAAAGTTTTTTTTTCTTACCTTGATCGGCAATTGCCGGTGCTGCGACATTTATCACTGGCGTGCCGGCAGGAAGATTCTCAGAGATCGTGACAGCAGGATTGGACAACAGCAGTCGAGGAGGTCCGATCGTCTGCGCAGGCACCGGAATCAGATTCAGTTTCAGCACTGCCTTGCGCGGCGGCGATCCGTGATCATTAGCAGTGATTTCGAGATCCGTGGGCTTCGTGATATGCTTCATGAGACTCACGATTCCCGACTCGTAGCCTACGGTAAAGCGCGCTTCCTCGTTGCCGGCAGTTATCACATAGGACACTCGACCGTTATCACCCGAATCCTTGTCCACGGCAACGACTCTTACCAGGCTGGCGCCTAAAAAGACATTTAAAAAATTGTGAGTAATCGTTTTATTACATAAATATACAATACTCTGATTTGGGAAATATAATATTTACCAGGCAGAAGATTCGACGCGACGGCTATCTTGGTAGATTCCGGCGCGACAAAAACAGGATCGTTGTCATTCTGATCGAGGACGATGATTCTCGCGGTGACTGTGGAAGCCAACTGCTCTCCCGGCGGTGCGCGATCCGATGCTTTAAGAATCAAAGTATACTCCGCCCTTTCCTCTCGATCCAGTTGCTTAGCCAGCGTCAAAGCGCCCGTCAAGAAGTCCACAGCAAAATAGCCCTTTGATGGCAATTCGGCGACGAGATCGTATCTAAGTTCGCCATTCAAGCCACTGTCCAGATCGCTAGCCGTAAGATTGTAAATCGTCGAACCAATGGCTGCTCTTTCGGACACTCGAACGATTATCGGATCCTGCGGCCAGTTCGGCGCATTGTCATTGGCGTCTTCTATGATGATCTTCACCGAAACAGCAATACTTTGAGGATTCCCGATCGAAGTCGTATCCAACGCACGGATCTCCAGGTGATATTCGCTCACGTTCTCGCGATCGAGGGAATGGGCGACCACCAGCTGGCCCGAGCTGCGATCGACGTCAAAAGCTGGAAACTCGCTGATCGGCGTTAGCGAGTTCAAGGTGAAGGCCATGCGACCCGCAGGACCCGCCCCCGACACTGATCCTATAGCATGTCCGATACTTGCATCCTCGCGTACCTAGAAACATGTTAAACGTATATTGTTTAATTTTCATTAGCAGTTTTTTTATTTTTTGTAACATTAAATTTCCTTCAAGATAATTTAATTGAAATAAATTGTGTAAACATTATTTAATAATTACTAAAACATAATTTAGTCTCAAAAAGAAAATACACAACTGATTAAAATAAAATTTTAAATTTATGTTTTATTATCTGCAAATATTAGCAATAAGAGAAATTAATTAATTTTATTTATATAATTAAATTTATGTAAGAACTTAAAACATTTTCTTATAATAGTCAATTTTTCAATATCAGTTGATTAACATTCAAGACCATTTCTTGTTTAAAATATAAGATTTCAATATATCCTATCTTAAAAAAGACATGGAAGATTTTCATTATTGCCTTTTTTTCGCGATACTAATTAAAAATACGCATTTTTCATGATATAGCCATATCAATTTCTCTGATATAACCATAATTTGAAAGTAATTTTATTTAATACACATAGATAATTATTTGTGCATTTCTTACAAAACTATATATTCGTGTAAAGGATACGTAACGTCTATTTCGCTGAGATGTTATTACTATACAAACTCGGCATGAGATGTTACCGCGTGTTTTGATAATTATTAGCTAGATTTGACCGACGTATCAATATTTACATTAAAGTGGAAAATAATTATGCGTCTTCTTTCGTTCTCTATTATACTTTTCGACAGAAAGGTTCTTATATCAGTTCTTGTTATTTTATCGTATTCAGTTATACGCGTTCAGTCACTTCAAACGGACATAATGTCTGCATCATTAAATATTTTATATAAAAAACACGTGTGGAAATATTATGTAAAACTATCGGATTTAGAAGCACAGTGCAAGTTTTGCGAAAATAAATACTTTTATACAAAAGATGGAAACTTCAAAAGACATATAGCAATATGTCATATAAAAATTTGGAAATACGAAGAAAAGAAAACAGTAATAAAAGGTCCATGGATGTATTTCAAATATTTAAACAAATCATATTCACAATGCGTTATCTGTGATGCAAATGTTCTATCTACATTCGAATCTGTAGAAAATCACTTGAGTTCACATTCTGAAAAACAACGGGAGAATCATACATTTCGCAATTGGCCATGGAAATATTGTACAAAAAGAGATGATTTTGCAATAGAGTGTAATATTTGTCACCAAAACTTTGCTCTTACAATTTCCGATAAGATAAATCGTCACATAAAACTGAAACATTCGAACAAATTGGAAAATACGCAAGAAACACACGACACAGTTGGTTCATCAGAATGCGTTTCATCACTTCGAACGGACACAACGTCTAAGTCACTAACTATTGTAACTAAAAAGAATTTATGGAAATATTACGTAAAATTGTCGGATTGTGAAGCACAGTGCATGTTTTGTGAAAACATATATAATTATTTAGACTTTGGAAATTTCCGTGACCATACAGCAAAATGTCATAGAAAAATTTTGATATACGAACAAGAGAGAAAACTAATAAAATTGCCATGGATGTATTTCAAGTATTTAAACAAATCACATTTACAGTGTATTATTTGTGACGCAAATGTTCTGTCTACATCCGAATCTGTGGAAAATCATTTGAGTTCACATTCGGAAAAACAACGAAAGAATCATGTCCTTAGCAGTTGGTCATATAAATATTGGATAAGAAGAGATGATTTTGTGGTGGAGTGTAATATTTGTAATAAGAATGTAAATCTTTTTGTTTATTCTAGTCTCAATACTCACATAAAACTGAAACATTTGAACAAATTGAAAAATACGCAAGAAACACACGACACAGTTGGTTCATCAGAATGCGTTTCATCACTTCGAACGGACACAACGTCTGAGTCACTAACTATTGTAACTAAAAAGAATTTATGGAAATATTACATAAAACTGTCGGATTGTAAAGCGCAGTGCATGTTTTGTGAAAACAAATATAATTATTTAGACTTGAAAAGTTTCCGTCAACATACAGCAGGATGTCATAGAAAAATTTTGATATACGAACAAGAGAGAAAACTAATAAAATTGCCATGGATGTATTTCAAGTATTTAAACAAATCACATTCACAGTGTATTATTTGTGATGCAAATGTTCTGTCTACATCCGAATCTGTAGAAAATCACTTGAGTTCACATTCTGAAAAACAACGAAAGAATCATGTCCTTAGTCCTTGGTTATATAAATATTGGATAAAAAAAGATGATTTTGTGGTGGAGTGTAATATTTGTAATAAGAATATATCTCTTTGTGCTAACAGTTATCTGAATGTTCACATAAAACTGAAACATTCGGACAAATTGGAAAATACACAAGAAACACACGACACAGTTGGTTCATCAGAATGCGTTTCATCACTTCAAACGGACACAACGTCTAAGTCACTAACTCTTGTAACTAAAAAGCATCTGTGGAAATATTATGTAAAACTGTCGAATTTTAAAGCGCAGTGCATGTTTTGCGAAAAAAAATACGAGTATATAAAGATTGATACTTTCCGAATGCATTTTATAAGACATCATAGAAAAATTTGGAAATACGAAGAAGAGAAAAAACTAATAAAATTACCATGGATGTATTTCAAGTATTCAAACAAATTATATTCACAATGTATTATCTGTAATGCAAATGTTCGATCTACATCTGAATCTGTAAAATCTCACTTGAGTTCGCATTCTGAAAAACAACGAAAGAATCATATCCTTCGCAATTGGGCATGGAAATATTGTACAAAAAGAGATGATTTTGTAATAGAGTGTAATATTTGTCACAAGAATTTCTCTCTTACTATTTCCTACCAGCTGAATATTCATATAAAAATAAAACATTCGGACAAATTGAAAAATACAAATTGAACACTTGACACAGTTCGTCAGAACGCGTTTCATCACTTCAAACGGACTGTCTATACCACTGAAAGATTTTTATGTAACAAAATGTCCACCTTAGGTTTTATATATAAAAAAATGCATGTAGAAATTTTTAGTCTTGAACAAAAATATCAAAGTTTACGTGGATCATTAAGGTATATTCTAAATATTTCAACTCATTAAAATTGTGATGAAAACATTTTATCTGAAAGTTTAGAAAATCACTCGCATTCTAAGAAACAATTACATTTCAGAGTTGACTATGGAAATACTGTACCAAAAGTGATGGTTTTGAAGTAGAATGTAATATTTGTCACTGATACATATTTGTTGCTATTAGAACTCATTTAAATGACTATATTAAGAATGAATATCATTTGGCAAGCTAACTAAATTGAATAAGAAAATTCCGTAAGTTTTATTGATATTATTGTTAATATTATTATGAATAATTAATTTTACATTATATTAATTATTATGTATAATTATTGTTTATATAGATTTATCCAGAAGTTGACAATGGGAATGATGGTAACGGCGTCCAAGTAGCATCACAACCAGCAATAATGGCAGTCTTAATTTTAACGATTTTAATTTACTAAAGATATACACAAGTAAAGTGGCATATATAGTTCTGATAATTCTTCAGTATAATTAATTGTTTTATGTTTATAAAATTATAAATATGATTATAAATCTACGTTTTACAGAAAACAAAGTTACATTTTTTAATTTCTTAATTATAATTATAAATTTTATAATGTACTATGTTTTAAATTTATAAACAATATTTTTAATTTTATTTACTGAAACGATTTAATGAAATAATCATTGACTTCTCTGTAAAGAGAAAAATAACGACAATTTATACCATAATTTAATTTCAAATATTTAATTTTTACATAATTTTTTATATATTTTTACGCATGTTTAAAATCTTTTTATATATTTTCGTTATTTTTTGTACTTTATATAATATAAATTTCTTATTATAACTTCTGTAAAAGTTTCCGAATATAATACATTAATTGTCGGTAAAATATATCAGTTTAAATTTTAAAATTGCGTTTTTTCGAGAAATGTTGATGTAATACACGATGCAATCATCATAAATAAATCATCATATAAATCAAATAAATTCATCATAAGAGAGTGTCATTTTATTATATAAAGGTAGAATATTGTTGTTCTTATATAAATTATTAATTATTCCCAACGTAATTTAATTTTGATTATTATTTTAAATATTTTTAGACGTTTAAAGATGTTATTATTAATTACATAACTGTTTTATTAAAAATTTGCTTTAAAAATTAATAAAAACTTCAATGCTTGTAATAATTATTTTTAACATATAAATTATTTTAGCAAAAAAATCTGTGACGTAATTTTGTAATTTAGTGGTCTGTTACATTTAAAAAAGAAACCAAACGACGTAGGTTCTTTTGTTTAAACATTAATTTTTACATATGATTTTGATATTAAGTAATGTACATTTTATTCATTTTTATGATATACCATAACATTTGTTAGATAAGAACTATAGAATGTATATTTTCCTAATTGTGATGTATTGAAATTTTACATTTTAAATAAAGAATTGGTTTAGAATTCTAAAATACAAGATTTTAATACATTGCAGTGATAGGCCTACCAAATGACATAATATAAGATTCTAAAGCATAAAAATGAATAAAATATACATTTTGAGATTAATGTTGAGTTTAATGTGACTATTATATCGAAAACCGCTCGTGATAAAGTTTCGATGTCCCGTAAAATTTTCAATAGAACTCGACCGTAAATTGTATATTGTGTAAATTGCAAGCTACTCGCAGGAAACGCACATAAACGCGGGGAAAATGTCGCCTGAATATCAGCGCGGTCATAAATGCTCTAATAAATAATTGCGAAAGAGACAGTCGTAGACTCTAAACCGATAACGTACAGGAAAGTTAGCAATGAATCGCTGAGTAAATGAATTCTACCGGATGGCGAGGTCAATAGTACTCACGTTAAAGGTAAGACTGCTGCTGGTGAAGGTCGGCCGGTTATCCGCGAGTGCCAGGACTTCGACTCGCAACGCGCGAACGCTGTGTCGCGGCGGATGACCGGCATCGGTCGCTTTTACGGACACCCGGTATACGTTGCGCTCTTCGTGATCGAGCACGATCTTGGTCCTAATCATGCCGGTGATCGGATCGATGGTGAAGACGTTGTAGCCATCCGAATCACGATCTAAAATGAAAAAGAATCAGTGCATTTTGAGATTGGAAATTTTGTCGACCAGGTAAATAGACGAAGTTACATCTTAGATCTTGATGTGAAGAAAAAAATTGTTTCGCATGCCGTTGACTCCGTGTAGAATTGTATGTGCGAAATAAACATCGCGATATAGCACGGAGTGAAATACTTGACACGGAGAGAACATCGACGCAATCCTCAATAATATAACAGTACTCTCGCGAGCAAAGCAATGTTAAGATTTAATCTCACGATCGGCATTTTTTCCGTCTGGTCATCTCTACACGTGATTGGGAAAATCCAGACTGAGAACTGAAAATGGTTCTGCCGCGGAATGGACCGTGCGCGCCATAGGCGGTGCATTTCTAGCAGGCTACACGCGGCAAAAACGGCCCGCGACCGCTTTTAAGACCGTGCATAATTGTTTCTGTAATTGCCGCTGGGTTATTAAAGCCCCCTCAAAAAGTCTTACGGGCGGCGGGAGCGAGCGGTAAAAAACCAAGTCCGCCGTCTAATCTCCGACACGTAAGTACTTTCTCGCTATTTCTCTATTATTCCCGACTCTTAACGCTGCCGGCGCGCTCGTAACGAAGCCGCGCAATTATTGGTCGCGCGCGTACACACACAACTAATTATAATTTAGATATTTTCTTACTCGCGAGAGATAATCGTATATATATCCGAGGCAAAGGCACGGTTTCCCTTAATTATGGCGGGCAGCGTTTCAATCGATTAGTCACACGCAGCAACTAATCGAAAACGGAATAGCTGTCTCTCTACCGAATCGAGACATATCTGAAAGAAATTAAACTAACGTTACGCCGACGTTCAACTTAACGATGCATTCTTACCCTTCAAGATGCTGTAAGTCACCGAAGCGTTTTCACCGAGGTCCGTGTCTAATGCACGCACCCTGGCAATTTCCGTTCCCGGTGGCTGCTCTTCCCTCACGCTGACTATATTCCCTTGCGGATCGACGATCTCGGGCGAGTTGTCGTTCACGTCCAGCACCGTGACTTTCAGCGGCACCCTGGCGGCCCTCGACGGCGTTCCTTGATCCCGCGCCTCCAGCACCAGCTCGTGGACGGCTTTCGTTTCACGATCGAGCGGCTCGCGCGTGGTGATCTCGCCTGTGCGTAATCGGACAATGAGACAGAGAAATAATTAATTTTCATTGCGTCTCCCGTGAGCGACGCGAGCGTCGGCTCCGCTGTCGGTAGATAACGAATTATTAACGATCCATTAGCAATTCACCGCAGCGCTCGGTCGCGTAGCAGCGTCTATTAGCAGACGCCGGGGAGTATTTATGACAGCGGGACAAAAAGCGTCGTCCCGATATTGGAGAGGATACTTAAATCTATCCACTGATGGATCTTATGCGAACCATTTCTAAAGCTCTCGCGGCCAATCGAGATAAAAGCGCGCGCGCTCTCGTTCGCATGTAAAATTAAACACATTCGACCGGCCAACGTCCCTCGCGCGTCGATCGCGGACGGCTAAACCGAGTTTATCAATTTCCTTCGTCAAGAACAGTTAATTGGATAATCGTTGCTCATACGCGCGCGCAAGAACCGTTCGTGCGCAGTCAACTTTTATTCCCCCGTCGCGTCCGGGAGTTTCGTTTTTCGTTTCCGCTCTCTCCTCCACGCATATAATAATTGTACCAGGAGGATACGTAGTCGCGCGTGTAACGAGCTACGCCGTAATTATGTATCGCAGAGAGTAGTCACGCTCGCGAAGAAGAGGAAGAGGAACGACGAAGGGAATAAGAAAAGAAGAAGAGACGGTGGAAGGCTCGGCGGGGCGAAAGAGAGGAAGGGTGAAGTCACACGCGGGAGACCCCACTTCGACCGATCGGCACATTAATGGATAATTAAGCGAGTGTGCGGCCGAGCCGCTCGGCAACTATTTCCAGAATCTGGGAAAGAATCAAGATAATAATTCGTACGGCTGAGCCGAAACGACGACGACGACTCGTATCGATGTTCGTGCGACATACCAGGCGGCGGAGCCTGGCGTGCCACCACGAATTCTTCTCGGCGTACCTAGTCGAGATCGTTCCGGCGTTCACCAGCCCCGTTCGCCGGCTCCGACGTCGCACTACTTCTCGACACAAGACAAACGATCGATGGGGGACATGCAAACGCGCCGGCCGACGCCGGTGCCGCGGCATCGGCGGATACCATCGCGGAACAATAAGAAGTATATCGTAGGACACGTGCTAATGCGTTTCTCGTGTAAGCCGTGGGACCGCGCGCGCGCGCGCTCCGACCGCTCACCGTCATCCTCGTAAAGGGAGAGGCGGACCTTTTTGTCTTCGCGTGCCTCTTTCAATATTTGGAAATCCATTCGGCCGCGATCCGACATACGATGTCTAGGTAAAGGCGGAGCCACCGCGCCGCGACAGATAGGAACACGCTGGTCTCTCGAAAATCAAACAGCCGTTCAACGAACGGGGGGGGGGGGGAATCAATGAGACTTGGGATCGGTGCGTCTCGAAACCTGCTTGGCGGCTTCGCAACTGCGCACGCGAGTTACCGACTAGCCGCGCGATCTTATCTTTAATTTGATCGTCGATGCAAAACCGCGCACCGAATTATCAACGCAGAGAAAAGCTGTGGGAAATGCCGCTTAGCGTGTCTGTCCCTGTCCGGAAAATATATATCGCTCGATAATATTCTTTTTACAATTCGATCGCGCTATTTTTACACATCATGTACTTAATTATAATATAAATTGAGCGTAATCGTCATCCATCATGATGAGGCATACACCGGATACACGTAGGACGTGTTAAACGATACGAGGTGGAATTATCAGGCGTTTTTTTTTTTTGCAGATCGCAGATCGACAAGTCGACGCACCAGAAAAGTAATCACACGTTACTTTGCGCAACGTGTTACCGCATGCCTGAAATAATCATATTCCGTAGACGAGGCACCCGGAGCCACACGTAGATGGCACGTGGCCGCGCTAACAGGTATCCGATCGATAGGTGAGTGGCGCGGGTGATAGGTCACGAAAATTCCTCAAGTCGCAATAATCGGCTGTACCGTACCGCGCATATCGTAACGAATTGAAATGTACGAGACGATGTGAGATTCCGCGCAAAACACGGATCGTCAGAAGAGAAGTGGAATGCGATTCTCTCTCTTTCTCTCTCTCTCTCTCTCTCTCCGACGTTCGTTGGAGAACATCAGAGTAACGTCTTGGTCGAATCGAACGTCAACGTTTTAGCAGCCGTAATCATCCGGGTACATATTAGGAACTGGTCGGATCGCACTGACAATCGAATATTCCCGTACTTTTCATCGCGCCTCATCGCGGACAAGGGCGGTGCCATTCCATAAATCACGGCGGTTCGATCTCTCGACTTTGTAAGCCGACGCGCGAGGCCTCCCCTTAATTGGATGAATGGAGAAAAGAGCGCCATTAAGCGAGCATTACGGCGGCGACCTACGCGGAAGGAGTGTGGAAGAGGCGCTGGGCTCGAGGGTTTTCTCAATGGGAGATCGGTGGTTAGAGCCGATCGAAGGACAATGGCCGAGCGAAATTTCAACTCACTCACGCCGCCGGTCCGTTGACCGGACAATGTGCAGTCGCGCTGTGCAGCGCGGGGATTAATATAGAAGTACTCGTACGACAAGACAGCTGATACTTCCGGCAGCGCGATCGCCCCCACCCGTCGTCGTCGTTATCCCTCATCTTTTTTTCTACCTGCCTCTCCAGCCGCGCAGAGTCGGGATGACTCGGGATGACTCCCACCTCTGCAAACAGGCAGCCCGGCGGATACGAAATGAAGAGAAAGAGAGAGAGAAATCTCAGGCCCAGGCCTCGAACCGAGAGCGTGTACACAAATACTCCCGTGTCGCATGCCAATCAAACCCGCGCATATTGCATACGCGAGGCGCATCGCATGCGTGTGCATTTCGCGGCGTGTGACGAGCCCCGGGCTCCGGTTCCTGATGATTCGTTACACGCCGACCAAGCGAAAGCGCCACTCTTACCGGATTATATTTTAATACCCACGAAGCGTGTACACTGCTGCAACTTAAAATGAGCTCTACGGAGATCCCGAAAGGAACCATCCTCGCTCGTCGTTTTTCTTGTTCCGGCTGATAATTTAGCGAATCGCGATTGAGTAATATCGTAAATTCGAAATTTAGCAGCTGCATTCTCGTGCAAATCTCGTTTATCTGATAATTATATTAAGGTAGTTTAAAGTAAGATGAATATTCACTAAGAATTTCAAAACAGTTTCGGAGAGGCGATGTTTGTGAGTACGAGAAACTCTTCTATCGGTTACGAAATCGTTCAACAATAACGCAACATTAAGGGTCGCCGGGTTGACGCAAGAGCAACGCGTAAATTACACGCGCTGACGGCTGAGAGCCATTTAGAAAATTAATAGTCTCTCTTTTTCCCACTCTCCGCGTCTCTCTTTCTACTTCTCGCGCCTAAATCGATCTTTCGTTGACCTCGCAGCACATTCGTTTCTCCATCATATCGTCTCGAAGGGAACTCGGAGGGACAACTTGAAGAGAACGGAATGCCGACGATTTAGACTCGGAGAATTAATAAGAAACTAGCAAAGGCGTGTTCGATTTTTATTTAACAGGCTAAGAACCAGTCTTAAACGGGAAGTAACTGTGGTTGCGGCATTAGCTGCGAGAACGCGAGTGTTAAAATAGAAGCTTGCGCGAGTCGAGGAGAAAAAAGAAAACACAACGGAGAGATCGGTTAAGCGCTAGGCTGATACACGAAATTAAATATCTAGCGGAAGTGAAATGTAAGTTGAAAAAAAAACGACGCGCGGAGATCGAGATTTCGTTGCGAATGGAATTAGCGACGACCACGGCGAATTTCGCAGGTGATTGCTTCCGTTTCGTGACGACGCATTCCTGCGGCCGCGTATCGCCGCGTCGCAGCACGATAATAACGCAAAGCGAAGAGCCGCAACAAAGAGAAAGATTCCAAACGTACAACCACAATGTTAATCGCCGCGAATCGATCACTGTCACCGTGGCCCGCGAGAAGTACCGAAGGGTCCATCCGCCGAATCAGGATGTTCCTCCTTGTACATCTCTTATTCACGGTTGTCGAGTAGCGCCGGTTCGTGACTCCGGTGTGAATTTAACTTGACTGAGAAAGACCGGTGGCCGGAGCAGAGAATAATGCGATTCTCGCCGGGTTCATTCGACGAAATTTCGGATTGCCTCTTTGCAAGCAACTTGAGTTGCACGGCCCGCAATCGAAACTCGGCGAACTCGAGGAAAAGATTCGCCAATATTTTTCTCCGCGAGTTTTTTCGAGTTGCGTGGGCATTCGCGTTCGGTCCTCGAAACCAGGCCCCGGAGTCTGGCTTTCGCAAACACTCGAGCATCTTTTCGACAAGAAGCTTCGGTGTTTGAAGGGTGCAAAGGGAGAAAGAATGAAAAATAGGGAAACAAGAGAGACAGTTCCTTACCTGTGTCGGGATCCACGGTAAAGCTGCTGTTCGCCTGAACCACCGCAAATCTCAGCAGCGAGTTCTTGCCGAGATCGGAATCGGTGGCGCTCACGGAGCCCACCGAAGTGCCCGAAGGAAGATTCTCGAGCAGCTCGAATCCATAGAAGTCCTTCTCGAATCGCGGATCATTGTCATTGTCGTCCTGGACTGTCACCAATACAGAGGCGCTCGCGGTCGCCGCGGGCGAGCCGTTGTCAGTCGCGAAAACTGTCAGAGCGTATCGATCGAGAGTCTCGCGGTCCAAATTTTGCGCCAGGTAGATCCATCCGGTGTTGCGGCTAATGCGAAAGGCCGTGGAGCCCTGGAGACGATAGCTCAGTCTCGCATTGTTTCCCGTGTCCTGATCGACCGCTGTCACTTGAAAAATCTGCAGGAAACAAAAAGTGTTTAACATGTAAGGTTAAATATATGTTTAATGTTGCTACAAAAAAAAAGGATAATTATTCGATCTTGTGAATATTAAATGCTGTAACGTTTAATTTTATGTTCGCAAAATAAAAGTCGGAATAGCAAACACGGTGGAATGTTTCAAGACGAAGAAAATGATGATGAAAATCGTAACAAGAGCAATCGCGTCACGCGAAGACATCTCTCGCGATCGAAAAGAGAGAAGAAGCAAGGCCGAGGGAAAAAGAAAGGGTGAGAGAGGCGGCGTCGAGACAAGACCAGTCGATCCGGTCGTTCTGTATTAATTAAACGCACCCAAGGACCACGAGCCCTAAACACGTTCGAACCAGTCGACGTATTCCGGCGCGGGAGGACGGTGAATCGCGAAGGTTGAAGAAGAAGAAGAAGAAAAAGCGCGAGATCGGGAGTGTATAAGGTCGTGTTGCGCGCATGAACCCGTGAATGATGGATAGTGGTAAAAGATGAAGGGAGAGAGGAGGAAGGAGAGAGAAACCGCCGCGACCGGGCTGTCTTCGTAAACGAGAAGGACCGGCGGGAAGGGGGGGGGGAGGGATGCGAGTTATCATTAGATGAGGGACCTGACGTGAGAGCAGGCAGTAATGTGTTTAACTGCACGTTATTAGTTCACGGTGGGTGAAGGGTTACACTCAACTGCAGCCAGGGTTACTCTCTTGCTCCAGCTTCCTCTCTCCCGCCGCACTCTTGCTGAAATTCCCCGACTCTTCGTCTTCCTCTCTATCTCTCTCTCTCTCTCTCTCTCTCACTTTAACGTACACTAGCGACTGAGATATTGTCCGGATACCACCGACAGCTCACAGATCTGTTTCGCCGATAGATACCACCGATATATATGTGTACACCGAGAGAAAGATGGAACGGAAGATCGAGTGGCGAGAGCAGAAGGACGAGGGGAAGAAGACGCAAGCAAAGGGGAAAAGAGAGAGAGAGAGAGAGAGAGAGAGAGATGCGCGAGAGATGCCGCGACGTCTCCGTTCCATCGTACCTGCGTATACGTTGTATTAAAAATGTGACGTCATTTAACGGGCCTATCTCGCGGCGAGAATCTCACCGCCATTCGTCATCGGTATCCTTGTATTCGGGATTACGTCCGCTCGGTGGCTACCATCGCGAGGAAACATCGGATCTATCAGCCGCTCGCGAATGATGACCCTCTCGCGACGAGTTTCGCGACTAATGATTCTTTTTCTCCGCTCTCGACCTACCGCGAATTGGCTTTCCGCCAATTCACGTGCTCGATCTTCTCTTTATTTTTCGCCGAATAATAACGGATGTGTGCCAGATAATTACAAGGAACGTCCGTCGCCGTCGGCGATTCTCGCGGGCCAAATCTGAGATCCACGAATATCGTTTCGCGTCATTTCTATAGGAATTTTTTTCGATAACGTTAATTGCAGCGGATGTAAATTCTTTTCGTACAAACAATCGAAAATGTGTAGAAAATCAAGTAATAGAAGAATTTGAATTTTTCGAATCCAAAATGAAAACACCATTTTTCATGGAACTGTACGTGGCGTGATGAATCTCCTATCGCGTTCGAGTAAGCGCTGGAGCCTGCTCGCGAAATGATGAACCGTGCGGAGCGCTCCCGCGGGCCTATCGACTGTTACCTATCAATCCTAGACGCTCAGAACTCGCGGCTGCTCGCAATCGGTATCAGCGGCAGCACGCCGCGTCCGGATATCAGATTATCAGACATTCCCTATCCATCTCGCGGCCCGAACTGGTCCGTCGAGTAACCTCGCGGAGGTAGCGTCTCGGCTAATCTCGCGCGGCGCGATGCAACGTCCAGTTAATTCGTTCCTAGCCGGCGCGGGGTTAATTCTCTCTTTGCTCACAAGGTGAACTTGGCGAGTCAACGTCTTCTTCTTCCTCCTTCTCCATCGGCTCTTATCTTCCGCAAGAAGAAGAAGAAGGTACTCGGAAGGGGGAGGGTAACTGGTAGTCGGTGGTACGCTTTATGATGCAAGAGAGAGCAAAGGTTCACGGGCGCGTTTCTTCCTGGTTGTCCCGGATAAAATTACGCATCCGTGAGACGGGACGCGAAACGCACAGGAGCAAAAAGAAGCCGACCGCGGAAAAAGGGAACCATCGGCGCAAAGAGATACCGATGAAGAGCGAAAGAACGGCCGAAGAAAGGTTGTTAACTTCCACCGCCTGTCGCATCCGATCCAGAACTTCTTCCTCTCCCTTCTTCTCTCTAACGCCCGCGTGTATACACGACGAGCCTTTATAACGTGCTTTTACTCCTTTCTTTCTCCTCTTCCCGCTTCCTTTTTCGAAGAACCCTACCGTATCTTCTCGACAAACAAATGCCCGCGTGACGGGCGTGTAATGAAGATTTTTCTCACCTGGGAATCGAGCCCGGCGCCTTCGGGAACCTCCACGTGATACTCGTTCCTCTCGAACGCTGGGGGGTTGTCATTCACGTCCTGCACCTCGACGCTCAGGCTGAGATTAGCCGAGAGCCCGGCGCCGTCCAGGGCCGTTATCAAGAGGCCGTGTCTCGACTGCGTTTCGTAATCCAATCGTCTTACCAAATAGAGCTCGCCCGTACGTGCGTCTATTCCGAACAAGTCGTTGCTATTTTGATTGAGAACGTAGCGTATCGGCAGTGAAGGCGTGGCATCCGGATCGGTGGCGTGCGCCACGTACAGAGGTACGTGGAGAGGGTGCGATTCCGGCACCGAGATGCGGACGCTTGTCGTGCGGAATGACGGCGTGTTGTCGTTCACATCCTCCACAATTACTTCCATCTATAATAATAAGAGAGAGAGAGATATATCGCATCGCTGGATAACGCAAATGAAGACGAACAAAAACAATCGGACAGTATATTTTCTCAACCATATAAATAAAAAATTACTTATAACGATGAATATAAAACGAGTAACGGTAAAGCAATCCGCGTCTGTTCAAATGCGATCCTAATCCGCTAACCAGCACGTTTTGCATTGAGTATTAATATAATAACATCGTAACGAGAACGTGAAAAAATTGCGTCCGACTTTTCGCACGCTCGGGATTATTATATGTGCATTCAGGATAAATACTGAGAACACGGATAAACGCCTATGATTACAGTAAGTTAATACCGAGACGATGATTATCTGGAGGATATGCAATTTACCTGGCAATATCCAACGGAGCCGCCATTACGTGCCTCAACGCTGAGAACGTATTTGTCACGTGATTCCCGATCGAGCGGCTGTCGAATCCTCAGCATCCCCGTGTTGGGATCCAGCGAGAGATCAGCTTCCTCTCTTACCAGATAAAACCTGCTCGGCCGTTCGCCTGGAAATGCAAAATACATAATTTAAATAATGTATACAGATATACACATGCATCAGATATAAATAAAAGGGGAAAACAGTCTTAAATGAGAGAAGAGAAACACATATTGCGTTAATTTATTCATAATAAGTCTCGTCGTCCACTTCGTTCAATGAGGGCTAATTAAAACAGTTGTATCGGGATAATCTCGATAAATTATGACGCGGATATCAAAAAGTAACTCTGTCTCCGGTTGCATTTGCATGAGTATTCGCATTATCGCAACTTAGTTTTCATAATAGCTCCCCGAGTTCGCCAGACGTGTTCACGCTGGGCTGATCGACGTGAGTTGCTATTAAATCACGATACTTACGTCGTGTTTGCGGGCAAACCGGGAGATCGACAGCTAGTTAAAGTCAGTTTCTCATCCGTCGATCCACCGTGCCGAGTTCTAATGAAAACGTTACAAATCGATTTGTTTTTGCAATATCGACGAGGCGGTCTTTATCCAATAAAGCCGTTTCGCATAACGACTGTCGGAAAAGTATATCGAGGTATGGCGTGACTTCAAAGCATTTTCGTAACAAGCAAGATAAATATTCCAGAGAAATAAATCAGCCGGATATTCCACAAGATTGCAGTAGAATGCGGCAGCTGACCTTGCCGATAATACAACAGCCAGTTGGCTTCGTGCTTTAAATCGTCAGATTAGACGCAAAGTTAAATGACAGCCACTACACATTCTTCGGGCTAACTGCACTGTAAACTGGCAAATTTATTCTTCGTTAAAATTCCGGCGGCATTGGGCCCATCGTAAAAGCGGGAAAGCCGAGGCGCGCCGCTAAGCAGATCTCTGGGACGAGAGCTGTCGCGCGCGTTACCGAGATCTCGTTCGTCACGGTTGTGTTCGGAGAGTGTTGCTCGCTCGAAGCGTCGTGTCCGATCGGCGGCATAATCTTACGGCGGATCTTCGGCGAGTACGGTCACATACATACACACGTACACACACAAACGAGAGGCGTCCGTGTTTACACAATCACATCCGTACATACATTCGTATCCGATAATGCGAGTTTCGTTTGTCGGGTAGCAAACGAGTGAGGCACACGAAAGAGAGAGAGAGAGAGAGAGAGAGAGAGAGAGAGAGAG